AATTCAAAATAGATCTATTACCCGAATGTGTCTCTTTTTAATTTATCCTGTGTGTATGGGTGACAAGTAAAAAAGAAGAATTATATCAACTTGTTTATCTCTTGTATGCAATTTATAAGTAATGTTATGAATATACTTTATGCTGTGACCCTGATTAGAGTGCAGAGTAAAAACAATATAGTTGTGAATTGAAAATAATGTTTTTTTTCATGTTCACCAGTTTACGTCTATATTAAAAAAAATATTATCAGTGTCATCAATAATAGCATACTGCTCCATGTTTTCTGTTGTTCACAGATATCACAGTTTTGTTTATATTTGATGATGTACTTGTTCTGTTTTCAAATTTTCATAGTTCTAGTTGATACTATTATTATTGTTGTTGTTTTGACCTAAATACTTTAAGAATACATAGTTTTCACCATTTTTTCTGAATATGATAATCCATCGTAACTTCTACTAGCTCATAAATTTCTGAGACTTGGATAAACGAGACAACCTAAAATAATTTCAATCTAGATGATTATAATTTGTTGAATGTTAACCGGTTATATGGGCGTGGGGGTGGTGTTGCACTATTTGTGAAGAAAAAAAATGTATACTGTAAGGACAGACATTGTTTATAATAAAAAAAAAAAAATTAACATGTGAATATTTGTTTATTGATTTTTTAGATAAAAAATGTAAGAGGTCTACTGTTGGTGTCATTTATAGAAAGCCGGGATCGAATCATGAAATATTCCTTGAATTTTACAACAATGTTATTAACAAATTACAAAGCTTCTGCTGAACTTTGGAACAAATTACCTTTAAATGTAAAAAACTGTCAAACCGTTAACCTATTCAAAACTAGTCTCAAGACACATTTATTCAAAATTGCGTTCGATGATTAATTATCTCTGTTCACTTTGATGTGTATTCCATATGTATTGTTATTTGTAGGTTTATTTGCATTTTTAGTTTTGTATAAGATGTAATTGTATATCAGTCTATTTTGTGTGTATAGCGCTTAGAGACTTCGGTGGTAAGCGCTTTATAAGTAACGTTTTTATTATTATTATTATTATTATGAACATAGGCATATTTATATAACTGGAGATTTTAATATTGACTTACTTAAAGATGATGATACTGTTAATGAATTCCTTTGGCTTAACTCTGTCCTTGGTGTATTCCCGATTATAAAAACCCCAACTCGTATTACACCAAGCAGTGCTACGCTTATTGATAATGTATTCACCAATGTAGTTGACTCAGATTTTGATTCAGGTAGTCTATGTTCAGATGTTAGTGACCACTTACCCATTTTTCTAGTCTCTAAAAGCTCTAATAATAATAATACTTATCAGCCTAGCTCATTTCGCTTTACTCGGAAATACTCAGATGATAATATAAGAAATTTCCAATATGATCTTTATCATGAAGAATGGACTAATCTCTATAATATGTCAAATGCTAATGATGCATATTCCTTTTTTATTAACCGTTTTACTCAATTGTTTGACAAGAATTTTCCTCTGTCAAAAACTAAACAAACTAAAAGACGCATAAAAAAACCTTGGATTACAAAATATTTATTAAGATGCATAAAGAAGAAAAATCGTTATCATAAACACTTTCTGCAAAACAATACATTGGATAATGAAAGAAAATACAAAAAATATAGAAATAAATTGAATAATCTGTTAAAGCACGCAAAAAAAATCATACTTTTCTAACAGTTTAAAGTTATATAAAAAAAATAATACTAAACAGACTTGGTCAGTTATAAACTCATTACTAAATAAGCCTAAAAAATCTTTACCTGAATACTTTTTTAATGGAACTGAGAAAGTTTGTGATCCAAAACATATCTGAATTTAATCAACATTTTATAAACTGATGTAGACAGATAACCACATCAATGGTCAGTTCTTCTAACAATACTTCTTTTAAGGATCATCTGACTGGTTCTATCAACAATTCTATTTTTTTAAATCCTATAACAGAAAATGAAGTTCTACAGATTAGTAAATCACTACAAAACAGTAATTCAGTCGGATTTGATAATCTTAGTACTAACTTAATGAAAAAAAATTATATTTTACATTGTACAGCCAGTAGTATTTATATTTAATCTCTCTCTTTCTACAGGCTTAGTCCCAGATAAACTAAAAATAGCTAAAATAACCCCCGTATTTAAAACAGATGATCCTCATAAATTTGATTATTATAGGCCAATATCTATTCTGCCGTCTATATCAAAGTTGTTAGAAAAATGTATTTATAACCGATTATATTCCTTTTGTTTAAACAATAAAATTCTCACAGATTCACAATATGGCTTTAGGAAAAATCACTCTACTACACATGCTTTGATAGAATTACAAGATACAGTTTTGTCAGCAATTCATACCAATAAATTTTGCATTGGAATTTTATGGACCTTTCAAAAGCCTTTGATATTGTTAATCATAGAATACTTGTATCCAAATTAGAACACTATAGGGTTAGGGGCTTACCACTACCTTGGTTTGAAAGTTATCTTTCTAATAGATCTCAATATGTAGTTTATAATAACAGTTCCTCAAATTTTTCTTCTATTACACACGGCGTACCACAAGGTTCTATCCTAGGTCCTCTACTGTTTTTAATTTACATTAATGATCTTACACATTCTTCTGACAAATTTAATTACATTATGTACGCTGACGATACTACTTTAATTTATACCCAACCTAACACTCATAACTTACAAAATAATATCAATACTGAATTAGACAAAGTAACAAAATGGTTCAAATCAAATAAATTGTTGATAAATCCTAGTAAAACAAATTACATAACTTTCTTCCATAGGCAGTCAAATTACACTAATTCGCTTGATAATTTGTTTATAAAAATAGATGAGGTTCCATTAAATAAGGTAAATAATGTTAATTTTCTTGGTGTTTGTATTGATTTTAATATGCAATGGGACAGTCATGTCAATAAAGTCACTCAAAAGGTATCTAAATGTATTGGTATATTATACAGATTAAAGGACTCGCTTCCACCTTCAGCATTATTACTACTTTATAATTCATTCATGCTCTCATATTTAAATTATTGTGTTACTGTTTGGGATAATTGTAGTCGAACTAAATTAGATAAATTATTTAAATTGCAAAAAAAAGCCCTTCGCATATGCCTTGGATGTCATTATCGTGCCCATTCTGCCCCACTGTTTAGAAAATTGAAATCTCTTAATATTTGTGATTTGTACTACTCCATTGCCCTCCTTGGTTTCTTCTACTTTCAAAATAAATTACCTGTTAATATTTTTCAGATGTTCACTCTTAATTACCAGATACATAACCACAATACCCGTTTTAAAGATTCTTTTCACTTATGGCCAGTAAAAACAAATAAGGTAATAAAATCAGTACGTCATAATTTCCCTGTAATTTGGAACTCCATCCCTAAATATATTTCTGATTGCAAGTCAATTAATTCCTTCAAAAAAAAGTTGAAGCAGTTTCTTTATCTCAAATATGTATAGTTACTTATCTTATGTTTATATTTGTGTTATATGTTTTTTTTTGTTGTTTCTTTTTATTTAATGTTCGTTTTTTTTCTTCTTATTTTAAATCTTTGCTTTACATTATGCTATGAATGCTTTGGGAACTATGCGTGTACAAGGCCTAAGGGCTTTATTTATGTAGTTCCCCATTTCATTTCTAAATTTGTTCATGAATAATTTTGTATCTTTTGTATCAATGTAATTTTTAATCGAGAATGAAATAAATGCGAATTCAATTCAATTCAATTCAACTTATGCTTCACCGTTATTAGTTTACTGTATATACGACACTAAATGTGTATTACTGATCTTTTAATTATACTTATATAGTTATGTTGATTTTGCTATTTTTGTTGTTGTTGTATGTTCTAATAATACCCATCAAATCTTTTTCTTTTCAATGGTCACTCTGTTAAACAACAAATTCCTGAGTTCACTTTTTGAGAGTATGTACATTAGGTCTAGCAAAATGTTCTCTCACCCCCTTCCCCCTTTTCCCGTTTCTCTCAGAGTGCCCTGATAATTACCTCGAAGGACCGAATGGGAATTGTTATTCATACCAATACTCCTCGCCATCATCATCGGCCAAAGACTGGGCCAGTGCTCGCGGTTATTGTGCCGTCACAAACGATTCTGACCTCGTCGTTCTTAACGACGAAACCGAGTACGAGTGGTTCGTCAATCTTACATCGACAGTCGCTCCAAACTCGTCATGGTGGTTAGGTAGGGGATTTATACTTTACTTGTGATAAATATTACCATTCTAGTGATAATGATGATGATGATAATAATTAACCATTATTGTAGTAACATACACTGTTGGCCATAAAGTAGGAATAGTATTTCTTACATATTTTGATGCATTGATTGTGACAATATACCTATATATAAATATATACATTTGATGTTTTCTCAGAACTTTACGGATCAATCTCCTTTGATCAGTAAACTTTCAAGAAGATATAAATGTTATCCATAAAAAATAAACCTTATTATCACAATCATTTCTTGAAAAGAGTTAAGATTAAATTATTCCAACATTATGATATTTATGAAGGTGATTAAAATATATAATATAAATAATAATTATAGTGATATCGTAACGAATCATCAATTGTAATACGTCTATTGCTTTTGATGTATTTTTTATGTGTACTTTAAAATAGACCTATTTATTAATTGCATGCATATATTTTTGAACAATAGTTTCTTTTGACAACTTAAAAGCTTGCCAGAGGCTTGCCAGAAGTAGCAACATATAATGTATGCCAAGTGTATTCCATCTATAGAGATGCCATTATTTATAGCAGGTGAATGACATGGTTGGAAACAAGGGTTTCGGGAGAGAAACATGCCTAAATTGAAATACATTAGTAAACATGTCTATACTATCCATTCAACAAGAATTATTATGGGGGGAAAACAGATAAATTCATAAAAATGGTTCATTATTCTTCGTATGACATCAGGTTATCATGATAACTCAGTTGAAGGAGATTGGAGATGGATTGACTGCGGAGGAACCACTGATTGGCAGCGTAACCTGTGGTCCTCTGGTTACCCTGGCAACGAAAGAGATGATTGTGGTGTCCTCTTGCCTACCGGAGAGATTGATGACGTCGTATGTGACATTCCAATCAACTATTTCTTATGCGAAGTCAGCCCTAAAGGTAATCTAGTACATGTACAAATGCTATTTAGTTATTTATCCACTAAAATCCTAACATCAATTAATCAACTAAGTTGTATTGCAAAGTTAGCCTGAAAGTTGTTGTGGTCTAGTGGATATATCACCGGGCTGTAGATCACATGGTTCGTGGTTCGAGTCCCACCGAAGGGCAAGACAATAGAGCCCCGTAATGGCAGCCATGCTGAAGCCGGTCTATTATTGTGGAGCTCCGGGAGAATTAAATCTGACAGACATGAACCCACTATTATTATTTATCATTAACAATCATCAACTAAATCTGTAACATCAATGATAACCAAAAAATAGTCCGAAATTCGAGCACTACTTTCATTTTTGTGTATATAATGATTTATCCACGTTTTACTGATTGCATTTCAAACAGGATTTAATAATAAATAGGACTAATTCATCGTAATTTTAATATTAATGTACTTTTTTATATTTGTGATTGATGTTACATACTGTTTATACAAAAAAATGCACGGGTGTAAGTGTGATTTTCGCTGTACCACAACATTAGTTATGAACTATATGAACAAAACATATTTAGAATGCTTATTTAAACTTTGATGATTAAAGTATACCATAATGAATGAGACTGCATTACATAATGTGTATTGATGTGACCAACGGAATAAGAATACCCAAATCCCCTTTTTCTTATCTGAAATAAATCCGTTTTGAAAACACCGTCAGTTGCCATCAAATTGTGAGAGAATAAATACTTAACATGCAATGACTAATCGTTATCTCAATTAAGGGATCGGTAACGATGTTTCAAGATCATACGTGATCACTCCACGCCCATCATCAAATAAATCTGTGCTTTTCAAACAACATTGATAAGAATGGCATTATAACTTCATATTCAAATACGTTTAAACGTTCAAAGTGTCCTTAATGTTAGATTGAATCACTGTGGAAGAGATAAGACAATTAAGAAAAGTTACCACTCCTCTGCTGCTTACAAGTTACAACTTGTTAACTTTTTTGTTTGATTTTTCCATTTAATAGTTTGCATTGACACTATTTTATTAATGAATACGTAATAAAATTTCATGTTTGTATATATGCGCACATTCAGGCAATCAAGCTGGATTCTTGTCACATTTTATAGGATTATGCAATTATGTTCGCTGTTAATTTAATGAATGATTCGATGTAATCAATTTTAAGTTTTTGTAATGCTAAAGTGTAAATTATGGTTATATTTCATGCAATACGTGTAGATATATCTTGACAAATTTACCACCATATATGTACACAAGTGCAAGCTGCGTGAACTGTTTAAATAAAACCTCTATTGAATTTAATCATGTTCAGGTGTTCAAATACAAACACGGATCCGATGTGAAAAAACACAAATAGAAATAGGGAGGGGGAGGGGTCAACTGATCATGAAGATAACTGCGCAAGAGAAATGCTCGATGTTTGTGATTATCTTTAAAGGACGTCATTTGAGAGAATCGAGTTTTACTGGTTTTAATAAACACTTCACTTTTCATTCAATCATAGTTTACATTATTATCGATCTATTGATATAAAAATCACCTGTTTCACTTTTATTTTATCAACTTATATACGATTATGATTCATAGTTCTCCTTCCATATCATGTAAATTGCGCCTGCTTGCATATCTAATTGTAATTAGTCGTTTATTTGTATTTTTATTCTTTCAGGTTTTACACCAGACGAAGCCAGACCAACCAATCTAATTGCTGAAGTAACATCCACCCTCACTGTTACTCTGAAGTGGGATGTTTCCCCTTTTTACTGTGATGTGTTTGGATATCGAATCCAAGTTACCAATGAACAGATGGAAACCACTCAAGGTAAACATGTGGTTGCTGTTGTTGTGGTGGAGGTGGTGGTGGTGGTGGTGGTGGTGGTGGTGGTGGTGGTGGTGGTGTGATGTGATGTGTTTGGATATCGAATCCAGGTAACCGATGAACACATGGAAACCACTCACGGTAAACATGTTGCTGTTTTTGTGGGTGTGATGGTGGTGTTGGTGGTGGTGGTGATTTTACGTTAATTTTACCTTTTTGGGGGAGATGGGCCCTCTCCCCTGACGCTCAAGGGGAGGGGTGCGATTGTTCAGGTGAACAAAAAAAATAAATAAGTGCTCAACACCCCCCTCTCTTATCTTAGCTTGGTGACCCGACACTTTTGCAATGTACTGAACATGTAAATTCTTTTAGTTTTGTTCATAATGATGTAATAGTTATCTAATTCATTTGAGAAGAATTATCGCAGATTATTTGCTATCTCTCAAATTGATTTAAATAACATGTGCCATTTTGATAAAACGTTTGGCATTGGCAGGCGCGTATGCAAGGGGGGGGGGGGAGATTCTGGATGTTGAACCCCCTCCCGGCCCCTCCTTTAACTTTTTTAATGTGTGTGTTTTGGAGAAAATTCCCCCCCCCTTTGTTTTTTATAAATATTTTGTTTAATAATAAATAATAATAAAAAATAATAAAAGATTGTGGTAATGGATGACATCAAAAGCTGACCTCACCCCCCCCCCCAACGAAACGAACTATCGATCGGCCAAATTTTGAGACACACACACACACAAAAAGTCCTCTTACCCCCCCCCCCCCCCCCCCGAATTATGTCTTCGTCATTCGTAACATGATTATTATCAGTAAAAACTATACATATTTTAGCTAATTGTTTTTTTTTTTGTTATCGATTAATAATACCAAAACATATTGCTTGTCTTGTTGTTGAAACAGAGGTGGTCTATGGAGGTAAAACTAGTGAGGTAGAGATATCTTTGGACCGTGTCAGGACAGAGTATTCCTTCACTGTGGCTGCGTGGACGATCTTGGATGAGGAACTGGCTGTGATTGGTCCAGCTGTTGCTACGACAGGTAGGTACACTGTCTCGGAGTTCAGTCCGGCATGGTCACAATTCTGAATGTCATGTACAACAAAATGTAATTGTGTAGTTTTATCAGACATCATCCTATCATTCATATCACTACCATCCCAGTATAGCTTCCTGAGTAGTCTGCTAAACTTGATGGAATAGATCTACTCCATCAAGTATCAAGTATCAGCAATATTATATTTTTGCCTCGATTTGAGCGCGTGCATGTGCATGAATGGCATTCCATAGTTTGACTCGGTGCAGAAACGAAAGTTGCTCGCGGACGGATCCATTCAAAGCTCGGTAATCTTTCACTATTTATTACCATTACCTGTATACGTCAACACATTTTAAGGGTAACTCAATGAGCTCTTCATGTTTAGTCATTTATGGCACAAGGTACGGAATCAGTGGCCAAATCGTACGTCTTGACAAGAATATACAGTAAACCCGACGTAGAACTGCGCACATGGGACCGAAGACGGAATTTCTTGGGGAAACGCGCAACAGTCTATCCATCGCATAGACCTTCATGCGCATGTGCAGAAACTCGCTACCTGATTTGTCAAAAGTTCTCGAGACTTGAAAAAGTTTTATTGTTTGAAGAAAGTACTAATTTTGTTGGATTTAAAATAACCCAACTCTAAAGACTAAAGAGATTTAGAAGAAGGCCATCATCAGATTCACATTTATTGATTTAAAACTTTGAAGTTTGAGTCAAGTCAAGAAAAGTATACATTTATCTGATCGTCTCATGATCACAGTTCACACTGACTGATGTTGGTGTTCTCACAACACAAACACCAGCTTTTGACACAGAACTTGAAATCACTCATTGAGTCATTCGATTATAAGACGGGCTTAATGTCTTGAATCTGAATATTTCATTGAATCTTCGCTTCTTTATATTCCAGGTTCTTGTCCGGACAGTTATGAGGAGAGCCCCGGTGGACGATGTTATCTGTTCAGAAATCTGACCAATGGGGAGTGGTGGCCGGCAGGGAGGAGGTCATGTGACAACACAGTGGACGGTGACCTTGTGATCATCAATGATGAGGAGGAATTGAACTATATCATGAACAGGACCTCTGAAATTGATCCAGATGGAAAATGGTGGATTGGTAGGTGTTTTATGACTCATAGGGAATGTATTGATTTATAAACATTACCTCCTCTTTATTTGACTGTTTTTTTTTGTAATGCTAATTTATATTAACATTTGTTATCATAAATGTATATGAAATGGAAACAAATTGAGCTCTATATTGTAAATTGTACCTTAATTTATACAGATGGAATGTGGTTGATTGTCTTATACATGTATCTCCATCTTTGTAGGTATGTTATAATTTTTGATAGAAATTGTATTTAGTATGGGTTAGAGTAAGGACTCTTCTGCATCCTCCATATTTTGTAAGAAGTGGTATTTTCTAACAACTTTTGCAACAGAATGTTCCTTGCTATTCATTTTTTTGATAGTACTGGAAAAATTCCAATGATAATTAGCCAGCAGACTTAGATAAAATCTATAAGATTTGTCATTAAGACGGAATATTTGCCTCTGTCTGCCCCCAGCCCAGGGACATCATTCCATTGAACACTCCTTTGATTTTCATTTTCTTCTCTTAATTTCAACCAGGACTATCTGATCTTACTGCTGATGATGACTGGCAATGGGTGGATTGTACAGAGTCTAACGACTGGCAGAACCGTCTCTGGGCACCGGGTTACCCCACCTGCGATGATACACACGACTGTGCAGTCTTGAACCCCGATGGCACCATCCAAGATGACGCTTGTGATCTACGCATCAACTCAATCTGTGAGATATCTCCTAAAGGTAATATAAAAGTTCACCGCACCAACAATACAAACCTTGGCTTTTAAGCGAGGTTTGTTGTTGCACCACATTTTTTTCTCAACAGAGATAGTTGGCCCTTAAAAAAGGGGTAGTGTTGAGATCAGTTATTTTGTATTTTTCCAGGATTAAAGTTAAGAATGTGATTTATGTAGGAAATTTACCTCAGCACACGTGTCATATACAGTGTTACCTAAAAAGAACATTGTTGATTATTTCAAAGAGTATAATGTGCAACCCCAAAACTCTGGAATAACTTACCATTAGAAGTCAAGAAATCACCATCTGTGAATATCTTTAAATCAAAACTGCATGCACATATTTTCAATTAACTGTAAATTTAAGCATATCAGGAGCTCTTATTGCATAGTAGAATACATAATTAATGTTGGATAGTTTCTGTGCTCTATAAATGCATTATTATTATGATTATTATTATGATATTGATTACAAATTTGCATGTGTAGGGAACATCTCTAAATGGGGTGTTTTTCGATTTAATCCTGTCATAACAGCATGTTTTTACTATCAAGGATCAAAATCTTGAAACTAATATTCTTACCATTGTAGAGTTTGATGAACAAGCTGTGATGGTTGGAAACCTGATGGTCTCTGCATCCTTACCCACCAGTCTAGAGGTTTCATGGTCTCTGCCTGTATATGGCTGCAGTGCAGTCGGGTACCGCATCTATTATTCCATTGCAGATAGCATGGACGACAAGGAATCCAGTGAGTTTTCTTTTTTCTTTATTCAATGCATGGACTCGGTGGAAGAGAGTTCATGGTATAGGAAGAGCATTGAAAGTTTTGACAGCTGTAAAATAGCCATCAAAGCTTAAAGAAAGTTGTGAAAAAGAAAAAAAATCATATTGCCCTTTGGGAATCTCACTATTCTATTCGTTCAGTCTTTTCAGTCAAAGTCTTAAAGGAGCACTTAGAAAAAGAATATTTTCTTACATTATGGAACTGTTTTAACTTTTGTTATAGCTAATTACAAACCTTACATAACATGCTTTTCAGTAAGCCCCTTGTTTTACACGTGTATGTTGTATCTGAACTGTCCTTAAATACCTTTCATCATATTCAAGTTACAAGTTTTCCCCAGTTTTGAACGTCTTTAAAGGTACTATGTCCCATTTGCAGGCCAAACAAATGAAAAGGTTAAATTCCAACAGCATTTGAAAGATAATACTAATTTAAAAGTTCCCTAAAAAAAAAGGGGGGGGGGGGCTTGAAAATGTCTTTAAGTGGGACTATTAGTTGTCAAATTGACTTAAGAGCTATAGAGCCAGTAAGTAATAGTCTGATTTGCAGACCATTGTACCAAATGGTCATACGTTTTATGTTGCGCAAAGATTCAATCAGTTTAATTTTGGCCATTACAAGAAGTGGGTTATTGATGTAGACAAATGCTCATGTACCCTTTACAGCTCATCTTATGGATGTTATTACCAAAGAAGAAAAAAAGCCAGTCAGTCACTCAATAGTGTCTGACAGTGAAGTCTAGCAAGTAAACAGGTTTCCTTGCATAATTTGAATATTAGGACACTGCTAACGTTTAAATTTCACAGATAGGACATACATGACATATTCATAATTCCTGTTAAGTTCTACAGAATTTGATGTTGGCTGCAAGAGGGACATAGTATCTTTTCATTTGTTTCAAATAGCAATACTTTGTATAATCTGAAATTGTTGGTGCATATAAGAACAAATAGTCATGTTCGATTTAAAAAAATGCAAAAAGGTCATAAGATTTAAACAAGAACCAGGTAATGTCAGATGAACAGAGGATTGGATTGATACAAGGCATAATAGGCAGAGGAAAATAATAAATAAATAATAGTTCACAAACATGCCCAACTTTATATACAAAGCATAAAGCATTTCAAGGTAGAATACAACGTAAAATGAATTAATATAAATAAGACAAAATAACGGGCCTTAATCAAAAGCCTATTTAGACTTGACAGGTTGATCAATCATTCACTTTAGTGATACCGAGCTTTTTTCCCTCTTTCTTTGGGGGGATAGTGTTTGTACAAGGAGGTGATGCCACGCACGCAGTCGTACAAGATCTACGTGCCAATACGACATATAATGTGACAGTAGCTATCTACAACAACAAGGACATTGAACTGGAGGAATCTCAAGCTGTTGAGGGAACAACAAGTAAGATTACTCTTTCTACTGCATGTATTATTTTTTTTTACTATGGTTCAAATTGAGTCACTTAAAGTCCCTCTGCACTACTTATAGCTACTTGCGCCCTCTATATAGCAAACAATGCCTAATTGGTGCTTGTTGGTCTCCCATGATCCTCTTTTTCTTATTTTAATTTGAGAGCTGACTTGATGAGATAACCACCTGTTAGTGACTGTGCAGGAAGGTCTAATCCCCCTGGCCAAACAAGTACAGACAGGCTTTAAATATTAAGATTAATAGTTTGTTATATGTTCTTGAAAGTTGTTGATTTGTTCTCCATTGTTTTCTCAACATTTCTGGTAGAATAATCCCTGCCATGCCATCCATGTTATGTTTACATTAAAAAAGAAAAGACATCATTTATTGAGAGGAATAATATTAAATAAATTCTACACCCAAACTCACCAATCATGTAGTCTTTCTTTCCATGACATTTTTGATTAACCTTACAAACATATAATACTTCAATTGTGTCTTCAAATGAAGATGACAGCTAAGGCACTGGTTAATTGGCCAATCATTCAATCAAGAATTCAATAAGCAGATAATAATGATAATTATCAAACTACTCTAATGATCGATGATGGATAATTAGCAACTTTAATATGTGATATGTGAAATAAGTGGGTGATAGAAAAAAGATCCTTCATGATGAAACTATTTGCATATGAATGTATATAATCTTAACTTTAATAACTTGGAGCGGTAGCCAGAGTTCTTTCAAGATCCCCTCATTCTGTTGTCTTCATTCAGTGCCCTGCCCGGCTGATTACGAGGAGGGCCCAAACGGTCACTGCTACTGGTTTGCTGTGACCACGTATGGTTATATGTGGCATTGGGGCCGGCAGGGCTGCTCTGAAGAACCTGATTCTGACCTGGTCATCATCAATGATGAGGAGGAGCTCGACTTCCTTCATAATCGTACAGCTGAGCTGGCTGAAGATAGGGACTGGTGGATTGGTGAGTGTTAGTTTAATTTGATTTGATGTGATTTCATTTCATTTGACTGTTTGATAATTTGATTTGATTTGATGTGATTTGATGTGATTTGATTTGATGTGATTTGATTTGATGTGATTTGATTTGAATTGGTTTGATTTGATTTGATTTTATGTGACTGATTTTATTTTATTTTATTTTATTTGATATGACTGATTTTATTTTTTTGATGTGACTGGTTTGATTTGATTTGATGTGATATGATTTGATTTGATTTGATTTGATTTGATTTGATATGACATATTTGATTTGATGTGACATATTTGATTTGATATGATTTGATGTGACATATTTGATTTGATATGATTTGATTTGATTTGATTTAAGTTTGTTTAAAAATTGTATTACATAACCCAATGAATGCAACCTCAAAGTAGGATCATCCAAATACAATAGAACATTTCACAAGAAATATATAGGATTTGGTGGCAGTTCCTCATGTATTGCAGTATAAGATAGGTAATTAATCATGTAAGAATATTACCAACTAAGAAGGCATGTGATATATATGAACAGGGAGTAAGGGACCTATAGTTTCTGCTATGCTAGGCAATTGTATAAAGTTTAGTTGGTCATATGGAGAGAACCATTTGTGAAAGAAGTATAAAATTGTACAATTGAATGAAAAATGCTTGAAGTCTGAATAAGCAATAGAGCTGTAGAGAAATACGCTATATGGCTTTGATGAGCAAGTGTGGAAAGCAAAACGAAAGGTTTTGACATCATATGGAAGAATGTGTATATGTTCTCAAAATAGCTTTAAAAGGGTGAGGTGCCTATCATGTTTACCTTATCAAAGATTACATGCTCCACCAGTGACCCACTTAAAAGCTACATGTACTTCAGTGATGCAGAGTACATATATATATGGTAAAGATAAACAGAATTTGATGATCATAACCTAAAGTAATATATACTGTATGTCAACAGGCTTTACAACGGTTAAAATCACCTCAATACAGAGCCAGCCGGTGGAAGACTTCGTCTAGAGTCCAAAGATCTATACTCATTTTAGTTTTATTTGTTTGTACAATAGTAATTGCGTACTGCACCAATAGATTCATTATCTGCACAGGGGCTTTGCTACTGACAAGGCTTCGAGTCAAATTTTACAATTCTTAAATATCCAGCATTGCACTTAAAAGTTAGTTTATTAAGCTATGGTCATGTGTCTTTCTTTCTATCCATATTACGCTATTAATTTTTTAATAGTTTTTTTGCCATAAATGTTTTTTTACTTTTCTTTCGGTTGGCCCGTTTCCTATTTAATTGTTTGGAACAAGCAAACATGACCTTTCACCTCTCACTGTTTGCAAATGGTTATGACTGCCCAAACTTTGATACTTCGTATTTCAGTTTCTGTGCAGGCCTTTGCATGAAATTATCATTTTGCCTTTATTCAATTTTATCCTTTGAATGTTTCATATTGATTTTATAGGCCTTATTTATATCTCGGTCTCGTGATTGGTCCCTTTTAAAGTCACTGTCCAGATGATGCAAGTTGGATTTGAATGAAGGACATGTGATATGAAGATCCAAAAGAAGACCACTAGACCAAATCATATCTCAAATGTGTTACCTTTACCATGTTTCCTTGTAAAAAAGAGATTCCTGGGCCCTAAATATATTATATATATTTTCTATTGATCCAGATTGATCGCAAATTCTCCAGTCAATCACAAAATCAAACATTTCCATCTGTTATTACAGTATAAGTATGTTGATAATGATATCAAGTTGTGTTCAAATCAATCATTGTTAGAAGATGGGGCCCTAGAATTTCTCTTTCCACCTTTGCTATATTTCTTTGAGCAAGGTCAGCTTTCATTCACCTGTTATGACGTCCACGATTATATTCTTTAATTTTCATTCTTGGCTGTACAGTGTGTTTGTATTTTGTATGCAGAGATATTCAGAAGGGTATCCTTGTGGTGTCAACAGTAGGAGACCAGCCTGTAGGTCCTGTGACCAAATTCTGGGAACAAAGGTTTGAAAGTGTTTTTGTGTTCCCTCATGAATACCAAACAATTTTGACTTGGGCTGTCCCTTTGAAAATGCTAGGCATTTTTGGTAGGGGTCAACAAAGGTCACACAGGGCTCTTGGTCAACACCCATCTCCCTCACAGCAGACCAATGTGCCATAATTATCTTACAAGATAAACTATCCTTGCCTTCTGGCCTGCAGGACTGTCCAGCTCTCCAGCTTGGTCCTGGACTGACTGTGAGGAACTCAACCCTTGGCAGGACACCCTATGGGCACCTGGTAATCCTCAGCCCGAAGGCTACGGCTGTGCTGCCCTTGATGATTCCGGAGAGGTCGTAGACAAAGGCTGTGATATCAAGCATCATTTCATCTGTGAGATATCTCCCAGAGGTAAAGACACCTTACGGTCACCGTATACAGTCAAACCTGCTTTAGTGACCACCTGTCTACAAAGACCACATTTTTGTTTCCCTTGAAAATGGTTTCTCATTGAAACATGTACTAAAGGAACCTGTCTACAAAGACCACTTTCTGTGTTTCCCTTGGGCGGTCGCTATACGCAGGTTTGTCTGTATATCTTAACTCTTGTAGCAATTCCAAAATCGAAATAGATTTTCCACAGAAGCCTAGAAATTTGCTTTCAGTATTTTGTTGTTCCAATTGAATTTAGCTTTTTTATTTGGAGTAGTATTTCATCTAGCAGTGGAACAGTACTCATCATGTTAAAGGTGGGGTGAAATCCAAATATAAGTTGATTCCTGTTGATGATTCCACCAGAGCTGACCACCTGTTTACTATAGACCATACGTGCTGTAGCATCACCAGGAAAAGAAAGGTAATGTGGAGGTATTGTATTGTGAGCATATGCTGAGCTGGGGGAAGTAAAATACCACTGTCTCTTGTTAGCTCAATAATGATTGACAGATGATGTCATAAGATGAATGAGATCTGGAGCATTTTTTTTAGGGTGGAGCTTAGCAGGTCTGAGAAAATTATTTTTAAAAATATTTAAAATCTATGAAATATATTTAGATGTTTGAATAACAAAACATATGTTGTATGCAGCCCTGCACATCAACAGGAATCAAATTTGGATTTCACCCGATCTTTAAAGTTATTTTCAAACTATTCATCCACCATTGAAAGGATGTTTTGGAAACTTAGAAATGGAGCCAATAGATATATTAATTAGATAGTTTGTTGTTGCAACTTAAATTGTTGTTGCATTATCGATACAAAACAATTACATAATGACAAATTAAGAATGAGCCGGGGGTCACTAATGCAGATAACCTTATAGTACATTGGCCAAAATACTAAATATTACATACATTACTATAATAAAATTAACAAAACAACAAACAAACAATCAAAGTAAGAAAACTAAACTGCAAGTAACATGTTAAATTTCCCTTTCTGGAAACAAACTCATAAAAATTTTTAAAAAAATTGTTGTTTAAAGTCATCTAAGCTAATTTTAGTGAGGGAGTGAGATTATTCCATAGCGAAGGGCCCTTAAAAATATTGAATTTTGGGAAATCAATGTGCTGACTTGAGATAAATGCTTAAACAAATTCCTGAAATTCAAGCGCAAAAAAATACAAAATGCTCAAGGCCTGGAAACTACATGAAAAATATATAAAAAAATCAGTGTTGTTTAATAGAGAGTACATGGAAGAAATGGTGTTATACAAATGATTACTGTATCATCATTTAATCATTCAGGTTTTTCAGACGAGGAGGAGAATGTTGAGGAAATCAAGGCCAGTCCGTTGATGTATGGCATGGAGGTTAGCTGGACCCTAGCTCCAAAGCATTGCAACGTTGAGGCTTACCAGATCATTTACAAGGAAGACATGGAGGAAGCCAGGGAATTCTTTGGTAAGCAAAGGCTGTCGGTGTCCGAGTTGGTTCGTTGACGGTGATGTAGGTTACCGGTAGTTTCTTTCCTCTTAGAAGAAGAATGAGCTGCAGTAACAGGGAGAGTGTACATCAGAGAGAAAGAGATAGAGATATAGAGAGAGAGAGAGAGAGAGAGAGAGAGAGAAAAGAAAAGGGGAGGGGGGGGGGAGAGAAGGGAGATCCAGGGAAAATGGGAAAAAGAGACAATGATTTAAGTAAGGATTAACAGGAAAAGTGTTGTCTAATCCTCTATATGTTCACATCGTTGTAAACCTCTCCCAGATGCTACATGTAAATAGCCACGAAAGGATACCCTGAACCGATCTTTCGAAAAAAGGCACTTTTAATTCAGTGTACAGATAGGATCAATAAATTAAGATTTTAACCAGGCAGCTTTTGTTAGAGTTTGGCACTTCTGGGAAAACAATGCAAAAGTTAATTTAAACAGTTTGAGGGAATTTTAGGATGCTGGGTTTTTGTTTTAATTTAAAACTCCAAACATTTCAAATGGGCTTCTATCATGGCCACAAAAATTATAAAAACTAGTACCTTTGACCCATTTTTCTTTCCAGATCTTCAGTACGGAGAAGATTCTTCATCTACAATGGTGACTGGCCTTTACCCTAATAGAACGTACAACGTATCGGTAGCAGCTTTCCTCAACACGGAAGTGCTATTGAGCCCTGTAGGACCAGTACAAATAACTACACGTAAGTTACTCAATGAGTAGAAACCTCCGCAAAGAAGCATAGTTTTTATTTTTTCTTCTCTTCTTTAATGTTTCATCCCATTCTATCATGCTTGGAATAGAGCCTGTCTTTCAAATTTAGTATCAGTATTTGTTATGCATTTATAAGTTAATGAGAGATAAAAATGGAAATTTGATTTAACTGTAGATTTGTGATCAAAGTGATATTCATGTGCCTGCATTTTTATGAAGTCATTCAGTGATACTTTTTGACGACATAACGTTTAGATTTAGAGGGTATATGGAGAGGAGGGAAATAAACCAGGGATTTTATCGATCAATGCAATTACAAATTGATTGGATTGGTTTATTGCAAAAACACATCAGTAGCCTTGGCTAGAATATTTAAGAAAAATAACCAAGTTCATAGTTATTCCACATGTCAGGCGCAAGCATATCACTTGCCTCTTGTTAGAACGCAATTTGCCCTTACTACTGTGGGGTCCACTGGACCTAGGTTTTGGAATTCCCTTGAACTAAGAATAGCGCAATCAGTCAGTATTTATGTATTTAAGCGCAAACTGAAGTTACTATATTTGAGTCGATATCGTCTAGATTTATAGTTGTGATCAATATTTAAGAAAATTAATTACTATATAGGTCAGCATAATTCTAATTCCTATCTCTCACATCTATTCATCTGTCTGTCTTTTTTTGTTTTTGTCTGTGCTTCAGTCCTGTTGCTCGTTGTATTTTCCTGTTTCTTTTGTTTATAGCCATTATTTAGTAGTCAGTAGATTTTATTTTATTATACTTATTTATGTTTATATTTTATCAGTTGTTTAGTTAGTTTAGTTTGTCAGCACTTAAATGTATGCATTATTCTTATCTGACGAGTTTTGTTCTTTTAGGACATATTCATAAGCTACTCATGAGGGACCTTAAATCCACAAGCCTTGCTTTCAACCAAGGTCACCTCATCTTTCTTTTGTAACGCCATATACTGTAAACTTGTTATATTCATGTCATATTTGTAAAGTGTGTTATGAAAGAAAGATAAATAAAACTTGAAACATCAAACAAGCAGCTCGCAGGCTGAAAATGTTCAATTTCCAAACAAATTTAAAATATAGAGAGATATAAACATATACAAAACTAAAATACATATTGTAAGTCAACTTAAATTGATGTTTTCTTTGAAACAGCTGCATGCCCTGATGACTACGAAGAGGGACCTAACGGCCACTGCTACCGCTTCAGGATTCTAGACAATGGAACGCGGTGGATGAGAGGCAGGCAGACGTGCGATAACGTGGATGATTCCGACTATGTCATCATCAACGATGAGGAAGAACTCAACTTTCTTCTGAATCGAAGTGCAGAGGTGGATCCCGAAATGAACTGGTGGATAGGTAATTCATTGGATTTTTGTAAAGTTATCAGGGATTCCTATTTTCAGGGGTGCAGGATTTTAGACCCCTCTCTGTTTCAGGCCCATGGGATCAAATATTTCTGGGTCTATTTTCAGGGAAGAAAGGTATACTAACTGGTATCCCTGAGTTACATTTTCAAGATTTTTGAACACCATAATATTCCTATACTATAATCATATTATGATTATGATGATGAGGATGATGAGGAAAAGGAGGAGGAATGAAGATGATCGTTTACATGGTGATGGCAATGATGAAGATAAAGAGGATGAAGTTGATGATAGGGATCGTGACAATTATGATTTTGTTGATGATGATACATGATAATAAAAAATGATGATAATACATGATAATCTTGAAAATGATAAAAATAATAATTAGCAGTAATAGGGATTGTACATGCTGTCATGTCTTTTTCACTAGTTACAAGAACTTATTAGATGCCATCCATATGTCAGTATTAAACAGTGTAAACAGTACCTGGACATAATGATAAACAAAACCTTTCAAAGCTTATCGATGAAGAGCATTTATAAACTCTTTTGATTGCCTTTAGTACATGTATAATCCGATATTTTGCATTTATCCTGCAACTTATTCTTTTATGTGCAAATTCATTAAGGAACACATGAATGTATAACTTATAAAACTGATTGTGAATGTCATCATCATCATCATTATCCAGGTCTGTCTGATTTGTCCATGCCTGGATCCTGGGGATGGGTGGATTGTAGCACCCCTACAGCAGGGCAGGAAGGGCTATGGGCACCGGACTACCCCACCGGTCAGCCGTCCCGCTGTGCGGCCCTCCGGCCTGATGGACGGGTAATTGACCTCCCCTGTGAGACCAGGCTTAGCTACCTCTGTGAACTCCTTCCTAAAGGTGAGAATGCTCCCCAGGGAGTGGAAAATCACATACATTGAGTGCGGGTAAGCCTGAATCCGATGATCGGGGTAATAATATATATATCTGTAAAGCGCTTAGGCACGTATTGGGCAAAAAGAATTTCCGTTTCGGTTTAATAAAATTTGGAGTGGACTATTAGGCTATTATTATTATTATTATTATTATTATTATTATTATTATAAAGTGCGTCCCAGAAAAAATGAAACCGAAACTTATCGATGTTTTATCATAACTTAATCACAATTATAATTAATAAATGACACATCTTTGGAAAGCTTATATCCTCCTCTTTCATTTAATGCAACTCATATGATTCATATCTCACGCATGAGTGATTAAAAGCAATTTGAAGAGAGGAAACCAAAAAGTCATTTGGCGGGCGGTATCTGAATTTCAAGGAGAAAATCACATTTCTAGAAAGTTCAATTTCTGCTCTTTCATATGACACCTCAATCAGAAAAAATGAGCCAGGAATAACAAAGTTCTGTTTGTTTAAAGTAAGGCTTGCATTTCCATAATTTGATCAAACAAGTTCGTTTTCACTGGCTGCCTGCTGTAGCAACGAACAGAGCTGACAAAAGAGAATCTTTTTACCCTTGGTGCAATTCGAGTGGTAATATGGAATTCAGGAATCTTTTTACCATTACCCTTCATATATGCATGTAAATCGTTTCAATTGTTAAGAATACTCCCTACGGAGTGGAGATGGTACACATTTGTGTGTAGGCTCAAAATCCTCTGACCAAGGATAATAATTAAATGTATGACATTGTAAAGTGCATTAACATATCAATGAAATACGCTATATCAGTGTGAAATATTATAAATATTAGTGGTGGTTATTTTACCTGACTGCTAAGAAAGCATAAATTCTTGTTAGAAAGCAACCATATAATATTGAAATTATTACTATGCCTTGACACATCTATATTAAACTACTTAGTTTGGCACCTGTTTTGTTTCCATCTTCTGATTAAAACATCCACAGGGGCAGTATTTGGATCTCTGTGTCTCTTTATATCTCCTTTTAGCACCAACCATTGTCTCACATATTCTCCCCTTCTACACCCATAGGTTTTGATTCTGATGCACTCATGGTCTATAATGTAACCGCACAGGGGTACTCTAACTATATTGATGTTAGCTGGGTGCTTCCTGAGAATAATTGTGATGCTATTGGCTATGTCATCTACTACCAGATGTCAGATGGAACAGGGGAAAGAAAATCAGGTAAATACATGTACGGTAGACAGTTTTTTAATTTTGTTTAACTTAGTTTGTAATTAAAATACTTTAGAATTGTTTTGTGTGGGTAAACCAAGGGCAAACTTCATTTTAGGCTCAGATAATTGTAAATGATTTTATTAGTAGCACTGAGTGACAATGTGTGTAGCATACAAAATATCAGATGTCATCATTATTTTATGATTGATTACAAATATTTGACAAATTAACATATCGATTCGCTCATCTTAAACCAGAATATGTAATGTATGTTATCTGAAAGATTGAAGTTTCCTGAATATACTGTAAGCACCAAGGTTATCATCTGTTTTTCAATTTTTAAACAATTAAGAGATGAAATGACATTTGTTGGGATTGCATGCATCTTCGTTTCCACAGTGTATGTGAGTGGTGGAGAGTCTACCAGTGGTGCAATTACAGCGTTACCACTTGGCGCTTCATACTCCATGACTATAGCAGTGAGCACTAGCAAAGAGATGGAACTCCAAGAAACGGCACCAGTCAATGCATCTACAGGTAGGTTATCTTTTCTGTCGGTAAAGTGAAATGAATCAATTATTTCTTACGTGGCAAATTGTCATTATATATATATATATATATATATATATCTCTCCACCTATATGACTTTGATTAGGCTTCTAAGTATATCAACTAGGTTTGGGGGAATAGCTTTAGATTTAGGCTTATGGTTGGGTATTACAGGAATTTGGTTTTGGTTAAACATAGGTTTTGAATGGAGTTGAATTGAATGTTCTATTATCTTTTTGTCACAGCCAGTGACTGAATTAAGAAAGGGTTACAATTCTAAAAAAACATACAATTAATGAATATATTCATGCACTTAAATTATGAGGATATATGATAAATTTAAAAAATATATAGATGATCGAAGAACGTGCATAAATTCATACATGCATATATAACTAAATAGAGTTATCATATTCAAGAAAATAATATCCACATTGAATATGTACCCAATTAAGGGTTGGAAGGGTTGAGTTATATAGCGTTTCAAAATGGGTTAAAATTATAGTGGGGTATACAGTGATATTTAATAATATGATTGCAGGGCCCTCAGGGAGAACAGTATTAATACTAATGAGACTACCCTGCGTAAACAAGACGTAGTATTATTATTATTATTATTTATCGTCACAATACCTCTCACTTTGGAAATTTAAATTCTATGTTCACTTTCAGTACTATTACTTTGATCCTAATTGGTACCTTTCTGCTAGGATGAAGACTTTTAACTGGCACTCCAGAAATCTCTACTTTACCCATATTTGAGTTTATACCTTTGTTAAGATTAATCTGCTTGTATTTCAATACCATGGCCATTATTCTGTATATACATTACTCAGCTTCATCTTGCCCGGATAACTACGAGGAGGGTCCCAACGGAGGATGCTATCGCTTCCGGCTCGAGGACGTCGGTACTTGGTGGACGTACAGGAGACAGGCTTGCGTCTTTGATGTCGACTACTCGGATCTCCTCGTGATCAACGACCAGGAAGAGTTTGACTTTGTGATGAACAGGACAGCAGAGATGAGCGCTGATGCTAGCTGGTGGATTGGTGAGATGTCTTGATATTATGTCTTTTGGCAAGTTTTATCTATCCTGCGATGTACGTGGCACAAGGAGAATATGTGTGTGGCATATAAACAGTTTAAAGGCATCGTTTATCAATTTTAAATCTGAGATGCATGGTTCTACGTGTTATCAGTATCTGTGATATGATGTAATTGAAGCCCTAAAAAATTGCGCCTCAAAAAAGTAAAAATCTTTGAATGAACAGTTTTACCATACTCATTTTCCCCAATAGACTGTAGTGTTATAAAAAGCGCAAAATAATGAAATTTCGAATTCCAATCATAAATATCTTGATAATTAGACCGGCGATCGGCTTGTAAAAGTCATGGGGTTCCTGAATGACCTAAAGGTTTATAATTATTATTGCAGCATGAGCTAAATCCAGGATTTTGTTTCAGAATCTGAGACAAAGTTACCCAATCCCGTTAATGCTTGTTGTTATTTAATTATCAGGGTACACTGATCAGTCCGTAGAGGGAGACTGGAGGTGGATGGACACTTGCGAGGAATCTACTGCTTTCCAGGGTTCCCTCTGGGCTCCTGGTTCCCCCAGCATCCAAGCTCATGACTGCGCTGCTCTCCAGCCCACAGGTGATGTCATTGACCTCGTCTGTGATGCACTCATCCGTGGCTTTGTATGTGAGGTGGCATCTAGAGGTAAGAATGGAGAGAGAGTTTGTCTTTCTTTTTATTAAATCAGAATATTCAGAAAGAAATAAATCAGGAGAGGACATTAATTATTTTTATATCTCATGAAATTCTTTAGTGTTCAAAACAGATAATGAATTTGTCCAAGTACTGCAACAATATATATATTTCAATGTAGGATATTCAAAATTATGCTGCTTTTAAATTTAGTATGTTGTCCTTATAGGACATTTACCTGAAATTCAAAGCCATGAGGGAGGTATTTTCCTACCCCATATATGGCTGAGAATTGTTTGGTCCAATGTACATTATACTTGTAGATATGGAAAGGAAACTTATGTTATAATCCAACTTTAATAAAGAGGTCAGAACGCAAGCTTTTGACTCAATAAGCCCAATTGGACATTCTCTACAGAATGACTTTTGCCTATTGAAGGCTTATCCAAATCTGATCCAGATATTACATTCCCATTTCCAATACAGAGTTTGATTGGGGAGATGCTAACGTCCAGGATCTGATGGCCACAGGAATCACGGTTGGTCTGGAGGTGACTTGGACAGTGTCTTCAACGAGCTGCGATGTGATCGGATACAAGATCACTTACCAGCTTGATGAACCCGGTTCACAGACAGAGTTTAGTAAGTCCATCTTAGCTAGGATAACTCTCGTACTATAGGTGACAGTGTCTTCAAGAAGCTCAGGGGGGTGTTTCACAGAAATTCTAAGTCGAATTTAACTCTAAGTTGGACTTAAATATTATGGAGAGCCATTTGTAGCCTTACAATGAAATATATTCAAAAGCAAAATTGTCAGTATTTTAGACTTTTCGTAAATTTCACATCGAGAACATGAAATGTCCCATGATAATATAAAATATGAATGATATGAATCAATATTCTATGCCTTTTAAAATAAATTTTATAAAATATTTTGAAGGATGCTAAAGTCCAACTTAGAGATAAGTTCAACTTCGGATCTTTGTGAAACACCCCCCCCCCCTGATGTTATGTTGTATTGGGTGAACCGTTTATTATCAGTTTAATGAACCTGGCTCACTGTCAGAGTTTAGGAAGTCTATTCTAGGATATTTCTCGTACTATAGGTGACAATGTCTTCAAGAAGCTATGATGTTGTGTTGTATTGGGTGAATCGTTTACTATCAGTTTAATTAACCTGGCTCACTGTCAGAGTTTAATATGTCAATTCTAGGATAAATCACGTTCTATAGCTAACATGTACGTAGGTGTTGTCTTACAGAAGTTTTGATGTGAGATAGATAGATAGATAGGGTACAGGGTTACTGAGCAGCTATCCTGCACCATTTGTAATCTTGTAGTAGAACTGGGCTTTGGAGAGATGGAAAGGAGAGAGAGAAAGTTCTTTTTGAGAGAGAGGACAAGGGAAATGGATTGATTGTTCATATTACCTGATTGCTAAAATATATTTGTGGGTAACCCATGGGAACTGTTTCTTTGCTTCCTATCTGAGGGACTGAGTAATATGAGGATAAAGGCCTTCACCATATGGCTTTAGTTCATTAACTCAGCCTTTATCCTGTGTCGACTCATTTCCGAGACTATTGCTTCATCCACTGAGCTACATCATCATGTTGACTTGATCATTGCCTACAGGAACCTAGTGGTACCTGCATAGAGTCAATGGGAATGTGAGAGTTAAGTAGTCAACTAGCTAATAATATGCCTCATGCATTGCAGTATAACTATAATTTCTTGATGGAAAGTTAAAGGCTAGGTCGATTGAAGCCTATAGAAATTTAAGAGTTCAGGAATCAACGAGCTAATGATATGCCTCACACATTGCAGTGAATCTGTAATTTCTTGATGGAAAGTTAAAGGCTAGGTCAATCGAAGGCTATAGAAATGTAAGAATTCAGGAATCAACGAGCTAATAATATGTCTCATGCACTGCAGTGCCGAAACTTGCAGTGACACTGTAATTTCTTGATGGAAAGTTAATTAAAGACTAGGGCCCTGTTGCACAAAACTTACCATGGATGGTAACTACCATGGAAACCTTGATTTTGATTGATTGTTGAGCCCTGTTACCATGGTAGTTGCCATTGAAGGCCAAGTTTCCAGTAAGTTTTATGCAACAGGGGCCAGGTCAATTGAAGAAAGATGTGGATTGCTTTAATTCCCCTACTGCAGTGCTTGTGTACGGTGGAGACGTTGATAGTGTTACCATCTCTGGGCTGCTACCTGACAGGAGATACACCGTGGGTGTAGGAGTAATTCTCAACCTGGACGCTGAGCTCACTCCTATCACTACCGTTGGAACCACATGTAAGTACAGGTCTTGGACCAGGTACACTAAAAGTCATCGCAAAGACTTTATAACAAATCATTTCTAAGGCAATAATTCAATACCCTTTTGTACTGCCTATAACAAAATCATGTTCAAGTTATTCGATATCTCAACATGATATCCACTCATATTAAAATGATGGTGAACAGGACTATTGAAATTACCTTCAGTTGATTTTCGAAGTACATTTAATGTGTGATTAGTTTGAAAATAGCATTCAATTTAGAATAGGAGCCATGAAACCAAGAGGTTCACTTGTGAAAAGTTTGTTGTTCTTTAATTCACAGAGAGATTTTAAATTAGAATTTATTGATATGAAACAAAATTACTAGATGTATTTTCACCAACCCTCCAATTTTTCCCTCAGAACTATTGATGAAGATTGTTTCTCTCTGATCCAGCTAGTGCCCTGTCTAAACAATTATGAGGAAGGATTAAACAGCAGCAGTGACTGCGACTTCAAGTTTATCCATATCAACAGACTGTTTGAAAAGCTATGCAGCATGAATGTCCTCTCCGTTTGCACAGTTTAATTTTTAGAATTATTGGTAAAGGTTTTTTTCTTGCTCTCTTACTCTCTCTCTCTCTCTCTCTCTCTCTCTCTCTCTTTATCTCTCTCTGATTCAGTAACCTGCCCAAACAATTACGAGGAAGGACCAAACGGTCACTGCTACCGCTTCAGGATCCTAGACGATGGTGCTCATTGGCCTACTGGTCGAAGGACGTGTGACAACGTGGAAGACTCTGATCTAGCCGTGATCAACGATCCTGAGGAACTGGCTTTTCTTGTCAACAGGAGTGCAGAAGTGAACCCAGATATGACCTGGTGGATTGGTAAGAGAAATTTCACTTTATTTGTAATGTTAATAATGGACTAATGAGATACACAAAGAGTTGGTTTAAAATGTGGTTAAAATTTCTAGCAATCTTAAGATAAATTGGTAAGCTCCATCTTAAGATGTGACAGATATGATGGGTGGATTGGTAAGAGAAATTTCACTTTCTGTTGAATGTTGATAATGGGCTAATAAAGTACACAAATGAGTTACGGGTATGTTAAAAAAAAGGGGTTAAAACTTCTACCAATTGGTAGGATTGGTAGGAGCTAAATTGGTAAACTCCATCTTAATATTGAGAGATTTAGCTGGTAGGAATTTATTCACTCCTCATATTCCTTGCCAAATCAGAAAATGCACAATCAAAACAAATCACGTTTTACAACAGAACACTACATTGTAACCCTTAAGAACTAAGATATAGCAATTATATTTTGTTTAGGTTGATTTGTGTGAAGACCCAAATTCAACCACTACCTCATCAATAATAAAAAGATAAACCAGAGAGAATTTATCTGTTTTTATTGCACCTATGGATTGTATTTCTCTATTGTATTCTGTTAATATACAGACATTTGATCATATATTGTTCTTTCCGTCTAGGTTTATCCGATTTGTACATTGAGGGTGAGTGGAGATGGGTAGACTGTTCTACCACCACCGGATACCAAGACACCCTTTGGGCTCCTGATTACCCCTCTGATGTTGGTCTGTCCTGTGCTGCTCTTCAGTCCAGCGGAGACATCATCAACCTTCCTTGTGATAGACGATTCAGCTACCTCTGTGAACTCAATCCTAAAGGTATTCCATGATGATGATGATGATGATGAGGAGGAGGAGGAGGAGGAGGAGGAGGAGGAGGAGGAGGATGTTGATGATGATGAAGATGAAGGTGATGATGATGATGATGACGATGATGAAGATGAAGGTGATGATGATGACGATGATGATGACAATGACGATGAGAAGAAGGAGGAGAAAATAAGAAGAACAGAAGGAAAGAAAGAAGAATAATGATATTAAATGATAAAAATAATGATACTAATGATGATGATAATAATGATGATGATGATGATGATCATCATCATCATCATCATGAGGATAATCATTAGGACGAGGATGATGAGAAGGAGGATAATGAGGATACATTGTTTATCAAGATTATTATCTTTAGTCTTGCTGTGTGCTGGGACGAGTTTGATTTGATTCTGTAATAATTAATTTTGTTGTCTTTACCAAAACTCTTTTAAATGGTTAATCTTTATGTGATTTGCAGGTTTTGATCTCAACTCTCAAGTTGTTGAGAATGTAAGAGCATCAGGAGGGATGTATACCATTAACGTCACTTGGGATCTACCAGAGAATGGATGTAATGCTGTGGGATACAAGATCTATTATGAATTAACAGGAGTGGAGAGTGATGTATTGAGATCAGGTTTGCAACCGATATTCATGTTTTCTTTCTTTTTTTCATTTTTAACCACTCTTAGTGAAAGCTATCAGTCAGAAAACTAGGAGAATGTATTATTTTTAAGATACCATATATCAAATGCACAATGGTTTATGTATTCTTCCTTTTACATCTTCACTGGAAAGTCCTTTTTAATTTCAAATGACAATTAAATCTTGCTATTTTGAATCATACTTTTATTGCTTTTGTTGCTCGAGGAGGTTTTTTCAGTGCTTCATTACAATTCTATCATTCATCAATTGCCTGCAGTATTTGTCAGTGGTGGTGATTCTGTGAGTGGCTCCGTCACTGGTCTCCTCGCCAACGCATCCTATGACATCAAGGTTGCCATTTTGACGAGCAAAGATATTGAGCTTGGTGATACAGAACCGGTCACTGTTTCAACAGGTTAGTTGCAATTTGTTTAAAAAATAGCCAGAATGTTTTTCTTTATCTCATAAAGTCTTCTTTTTTTCCCAGTTCAATCCATTAAGAAACTTGTTTTATTTGATGCCTTTTTTTTCCTGGCACTGAACAGATTGCTCCACTTGTTTCTGCCATTTCTGGAATTGTCTTGCCACTGTAAATCTTGGTACAAGCAATATTCCATGTTATAAAAATCTCAATTCATTAGCCAGTTTGAAATTTAAGAAGAAATAAAATTCATTTTGATGCCACTGCCATCAAAAGTGATGCCAGTTGTCCATCTGTCTCTCCCACTTTATGTTTGATAACTCAATAAAGTCAGAATCATTCAATTGATGTTAACCAAACTCGCATGCAAGGATGAAATCAATTTGGGTGCACTATAGGTCAAAGGCCACATCAGGGTCATAAAAATGTTTTTCAAAATACCAGAAAATATCTTGTTACCACAATAACTTGAAAAGCATTGAAGCAATTTAAACAAAACATGGATGAAGTTTGTTTCAAGAATTTTGGTTAATAAATTTCATGATTGATTACATGATTCATGATTTAACGATTTTTCCAAATAATTTTGTGTTAAAGTGGCACGTTCCCGCCAGTGTAGTTATCGCTGCTCTAGTCATCGCCATCTTGGTTCTGAAGATCGACTTCTAATTTGCATACAGCTGTCAATCAAAGTACGCGCGGCCTGGCCTGCCTTCGCCAAGCCAGCTGATCGCTGACGATCGCGACGTCACGAAAGTGGGCGGAAACAGCAGCCGAATCTTAGAGCCGAACTGCGATTGGCATTACTTCGGCACATGTATGCGATAATCGGTATTGTCCGGGCATTCGGAACATGCCATCTGCGTAAGAGCCGTATTCTGTTGGTGTCAATAGGCAGCTAGCACCGTCCGCCAGCGGGTACGTATTTTGAACGCCCTCTGGAATACGGGGAACATGCCTCTTTAAACATCATTCATTTTTGAATAATCCTTTCCAGTGCCATGCCCAGATGGCTATGAGGAGGGGCCCAACGGCCGCTGCTATCGCTTCAGAATCCTTGACTTAGGTTCCTGGTGGCCCACGGGACGAAGGACCTGCGACAACGAGCCTGACTCTGACCTGGCTATCATCAATGATCAAGTGGAGCTGGATTTCTTGATCAATAGGACTGCCGAGATCGATCCTAACATCACGTGGTGGATAGGTGATTAGCATTTAAAGGATAATGTTACATTTATAAGAATAGTTTTAAAGAATATATAATTGTATTATGATTATGCATTAAACAAAAACAAAAAAACAACGACATATCAATGTGATGGTTATTTTACCTGACTGCTAAGAAAGCATAAATGCTTGTAAGTAAGCAACCAGACGGCTTTAGGTCCTCTCCGAGGGACCTGTTAATGACGATTAATGCCTTACCAAAGGGCACTAGCGCATCACCTTGGTTTCAAACCCGGGTCACCGGAGTACGAGACCACTGCTCTACCGACTGCATAATTGCAAAGAATTGCAAATACCAAACAATGAGGAATTTTTTAAAGTTTGAATTGATCTTTTTTATTTCTCTCAAATTGATAATGGACAGCAATTATCATTTTCTCTGAAAATCCATAAAATATTTTTGTATTAATGATATTGGTAGATTGATTACACTAATCACCTCTTCAAATTGGTGTCAGGTTTTGTTCTCCCTTTTACTTGTACCATTCTTTAATGCCTTATACCACAGGAGGTGGTGTAGAAGGCATTATTTTCCTAACAAATGTTGTACTTGGGAAGAATATTCATGGAGAGAACTATGTCAAAAATTGTAATATTGCTAAATTTTATCCCATGTCGCCATGAGTTTGCATTTTACTGTTTTATTTAGTCACAACGATTTTTTTCAGGCAGTTGAATGCGTATTATCTGAATGGAGATTTAGAAGTTAACAATATCTTGACTTATTTTTCAGGCTACTCTGACCAGTCTGTGGAGGGTGACTGGCGTTGGGTCGATTGCACCGAGTCAACTACCTGGCAGGATGCATTGTGGGTACCTGATCACCCTGGTAACGGTCGTCTGGACTGTGCAGCCCTGCAGCCTGACGGTCAGGTCGTGGACTTGGTTTGTGATACACCGCTCAGTTATCTGTGTGAGATTTCACCGAGAGGTGAGGATCGTCTTCGTCTTTTGCATTCCTTCAAGAGTTTTCCATCACAATACCCTGTGACTTTTTACTTGGTATGGTCCAAAATCTGAGATGGTCACATTGTTTAGATTGTGTTGTATATTGTACATGAGCAATACACATTGAAAAGTCAATTGTGCATGACAATGTATGTCCCATTAGTTGACCTGCAATGGAATCAGCTTTGAACATACCCAGTTTAAAACATAAATTTGCATTATCCTGAGGCGAATCATCAATTACCTGTTGAATTATCACCTTAATCATTTCAAATGTACTTTGTTAAATATTTTTTTCTTTAAAGATTCTTGAAAATCTTTGGTATTTCTATGCATTAATTAGGTAAGAACCCCAATGGAAGAACAGTGGTCCAGTTGAAATGGGCCATCAGTTTTGTTTGTATTTAAAAAATTGTATTATTGATTTATGTTGATGATTACAGAAATAGTATCAAATGATCAGTCAATACCGGTAATTTCTTTATGCTATGTTTACTATCTTTAGGATTCAGTCAGGAAGATGCCAATCCTGATAACCTTGCTGCCATGGCGGGAACGACCTACGGTCTAGAGGTCACATGGACCGTATCTCCGACCAGCTGTGATGTGATTGGCTATCGTATCTCCTACTACTTGACTGGAGATATATCAACCAGGTCATCAAGTAGGTTTAATTGTGATATAACTGGAACTATAAGTCATTTTGTAATAACGACTCTATCGTCAATTTATATAGTGCCTAATCAATTTTTGATGTCTCAATTATTAAAAAAGCGCTTAACAGATATATTATTACCCCATTCATCAGATTCTGGATTGTTCACACACAATATTTGCCCCTTATATCCAGTCCCCGAGGAGCATTCCAGCTATGCAGGCGCTGTTTTAGAGACATACAGAATGCTGAACAAATCACAATGACCTTTACATCCTACTGCATGGGTACCCATTCAAATCCCCAGTGGATACAAGCAATGTAGACAAAATTTCTTGTAATGGACAGAAGTGCCGTACCAGGGATTGAACCTATAACCTTTGCATCTCTGGCAAAGTGCATCTTAAAATGTATGTGTCCAAGTTCGGTCTATTTATAATGTGTGTGTTAAAATTCTCATTATAATATTTTCAGTCAGTATGCATCTGACAATATGGGGATGTTTCATGTAATGCAATTAACTCATTCATTCGCCAAAGAATTATCAAAGTTGATGTATTAAAAGGAGCATATTTTCTCTTGATTAGTATTCTATATTTACTATTATTCTTTCTTTACCATCAGTTATGGTCTATGGTGGTGATACGTCTAGTGCATTAGTAAGTGGCTTAGCAACCAACACAACCTATGATGTCACAGTAGCAGCGTATATTAGCAAAGATGCAGAGCTGAGTCCTGTAGGCCCAGTCACAGCTACAACAGGTGAGGAGCTAGTGATAGGGATAATGATTTGATTTGATTTTAAAAAAGAATTGTTGTGCCATTGTGAACCTTGATACAAGCGATATTCCATGCTATAAAACTCTCAATTTATTAACCCATTTAAAATTCAAGAAGAAAGAAAATTCTTATTTTATGCCTCTGCACCAAAGGTGGTGCCTGGTCTTGAGGCATTATGTATTCAGGTTGTCCGACGGTCTGGCCCTCCCACTGTTTGTTAACTCGATAAAGTCAGAACCATTCAACAGATTTTAAGTTTGACCAAGTATGTATAAGCATGCAAGGATGAACAAGATTTTGGGTGTAATAATTCAAAGGCCATGGTCTTAAAAGTGTTTAAAAAATACAAAAAAATATCTTGTTACTGCAATAACTTTAAAAGCATTGAAGGAACTTAAACAAAACATGGCTGAAGTTTGTTTTAAGAATTTTGATCATTCCAAACGATTTTTTGATAAACATCATTCATTTTCCTGAAATTCTTTCCAGTGCCATGCCCAGATGGCTATGAGGAGGGACCCAACGGCCGCTGCTATCGCTTCAGAATCCTTGACTTAGGTTCCTGGTGGCCCACTGGACGAAGGACCTGTGACAACGAGCCTGACTCTGACCTGGCCATCATCAACGATCAAGTGGAGCTGGATTTCTTGATCAATAGGACTGCCGAGATCGATCCTAACATCATGTGGTGGATAGGTGATTAGCACTTAAAGGGATCCGGTAACTTTGTCTTAGATCCTTTAAAAAAATCCTTGATTTAGCTCATATGCTGCAATGATAATTATAAACCTGTAGGTCAGTCAGGAACCCATGACTTTTACAAGCCGATTTCCTGTCTGATTATCAAGATATTTATGATTGATAATCAAAATTAAATTTTGCGTTTGCCAAATGATTTTCATAACACTACAATCTATTGGGGAAAACGAGTATGGTAAAACCGGTCACTCAAAGGTTTTTACTTTTTTGAGGCACTTCTTGATCAACTTGAAGCACAATTTTTTTAGGGCTTCAATATAACACCATATTACAGACACTGATAACACTTAGGGCTGTGCATCTCAGATTTAACATTGTTAAACGATCCCTTTAACGGATAATGTTACATTAATAAGAATAGTTTCAAAGAATATATCATTGTATTATGATTAGGAATTATGATATGATAATTGCAAAGAGTTGCAAGGACCATACAGTGAGTACAGGAAGATTTTAAGGGCGTATTGATCTTTTTTCTATCCTCTCAAATTGGTACCTTTTTTTATAACTAAAACTGATAGATTGATTACATTAATCACCTTTAGTTGTTTTTCTTCAAATTGGCGTCAGGATTTGCTTTAATCCCGTTTACTTTTACCATCCTTTAAGGAGGTGGTGTCGAAGGCATTATTTTTTAACAAAGGTTGTACTTGGAAAGAATATTCATGGAGAGAACTATGTCAAACTATTTTACCCCATTTTACCATTAGTTGGCTTCTACTGTTTTATTCAGCTACAATGTCTTTTTTAGGTTGTTGCAATGAGTGCGTATTAACTGAATGGGGTTAACAATATCTTGAATTAATTTTTCAGGCTACTCTGACCAGTCTGTGGAGGGTGACTGGCGTTGGGTCGATTGCACCGAGTCAACTACCTGGCAGAATGCATTGTGGGTACCTGATCACCCTGGTAACGGTCGTCTGGACTGTGCAGCCTTGCAGCCTGACGGTCAGGTCGTGGACTTGGTTTGTGATACACCGCTCAGTTATCTGTGTGAGATTTCACCGAGAGGTGAGGATCGTCTTCGTCTTTTGCATTCCTTCAAAAGTTTAACATCACAATACCCTGTGACTCTTTACTTGCTATGATCCAAAACCTGAGATGTTCGCATTGTTTGGAGTATGTTGTATATTGAACATGAGCAATATACACATTGAGAAGTCAAATGTGGATGGCAATTTATGTCCCACTAGTTTACCAGCAATGGGATCAGCATGGAGCATACCCAGTTGAAATGATCAATTTGCATTAATTATCCTGAGGCGAATCATCAATTGCTGTTGCCGCATTCTGATATCACCTAACTCATTTCAAATAAACTTTTGTTCAATATTACTGTTTTTAAAGTTCCTTGAAAATCTCTGATATTACTATGAATTATTTATGAAAGAACAGTGGTCCAGTTGAAATGGGCCATCAGTTTTATTATTTTGTATTAAAACAAAATTGTATTATTGATTTATGTTGATGATTACAGAAGTAATTAAAAAAAAAATCAATCACATTTTTCTTTTCACTTTGTTTACTACCTTTAGGATTCAGTCAGGAAGATGCCAATCCTCATGACCTTGCTGCCATGGGAACGACCTATGGCCTGGAAGTCACATGGACCGTATCTCCGACCAGCTGTGATGTGATTGGCTATCGTATCTCCTATTACTTGACTGGAGATATATCTACCAGTGGATCAAGTAAGTTTAATTGTGGTATACCTAGAATGATAGGTCACATCATTATTATCCATAATTTCTTTGCTACATATTTTTTTATTGATTGATTTTCTAAGTATACTTTGTTCAAGATATATTTGTAAAACAACATCTGAGGAACTAACACTTCAACAAGCTCTGCTTCTAGTTAGTTCCTCTTTTCTTGTGCTATTTCCTTTATCTTTGTCACTTCATTGTATATTTTTTTGTAATATACTTATTCATTGTATTATGTTTTGCATGAGAATTGCAGGGATTTGAATCCTGTACCTTGTGGTTCACAGTGGAGACTTATCCACTAGACCACAACATGTCAACACCTTTAATTCATGTTCTCTTAATTATTATTATTATTATTCTATATTTCTTTAAAATCAGCTTTTGTCTATGGTGGGGATACGTCTAGTGCAGTAGTACGTGGCTTAGCAACCAACTCAACCTATGATGTCACAGTAGCAGCATATATTAGCAAAGATATAGAGCTGAGTCCTATAGACCCAGTCACAGCTACAACAGGTGAGGAGTAGTGATAGGGAAAATGATTTGAATCGAGTTGATTTGATTTGATATGATATGACATGATTTGATTTTGATTTGACTTGATTTGATTTGATTTTATTTTGATTTAATATGATTTTGATTTGTCTGGCTTGATCTGTTTAACTTGATTTGACTTGATTTGATTTGATTTGAGTTTGATTTGATTTGACATGATTTGATTTGATTTAATTAGAGTTGATTGATTTGAGTTGTGTTGACTTGATGGATTTTATTTTATTTGATATGATTCGGTTTGATCTGATTTTATTGGATTTAATTTGATTTGGGAATACTTTGCTTTGCTTTGATTGAGTTTCATTTGACCTGATTTAGTTTGATTTGATGGATTTGATTTTATTTGATATGATTCGGTTTGATCTGATTTTATTGGATTTAATTTGATTTGGGAATACTTTGCTTTACTTTGATTGAGTTTCATTTGACCTGATTTAGTTTGATTTGATATGATATGAATATTTTATTTCTGTTTGATTTTTTAAAAACGTTTTCACATCTTTATCATTATCATTAGCGTTTTTGTTTCCAATTTTCTTCGAACCTTCATACAGACCCATGTCCAGACGACTACAGCCTCGCTCCCAATGGAAGATGTTACCTCTTCGTCCAGAGCAGCCTTGGGTCCTTCTGGCACTACAGTAGGGGAACCTGTTGGGCGCAGAAGGACTCTGACCTAGCTATCATCAACGACCAGGAGGAACTGGACTTTATTGTGCAGCAGATAGCTGCGATTGGGGATACCAAGAACTGGTGGTTAGGTACGTTATGTGAAGGTCTCAAGTGGGTTATAGGACACATGCATGCTCTATTAACCATCGGTCAATTTCCTACTGTAACCAAATTCCTAACTTCAACCTTTGACCCGAAGACATGTACTATACCACACACCAGGGGTGTTTCACAAAACTTGTCATCAGTGACAAATGACAGATTTTGTTATAAGCTACTGAAATCCTTGCTTCTGATCTTTGTCATTTGTCATTGAAAAAAGGCTTTGTGAAACGGGCCCCAGCTGTAAGCTTAACACTTTGCTTGCTTTCTCCGCCTCTCTGCGCAGTCGCTGATTTGCTACACATACATTTTTTAACAAAACAATAACCGCCAATGGAGGGAAGGATTGCTTGTTCAATACAATGGCTTTGCAAAATTACCAATTTCTGATCTTGAGTCTTTCATCACTGGTATAGATTAATCTTGCATTAGAAACAGTTGAAGAATATTGTAGGCTTTGGTATATGATTAAAAAAACGCTAAACTATGACACCTCTGAAGACCAAACAACTGTTACTTTATTCTTCAAAGGTTATTCCGATAACTCTGTGGAGGGTGAATGGAGGTGGGTGGACTGCACGGAATCAAACGACTGGCAGATGACCCTCTGGGCTCCTGGTTCCCCTGGCAACGAGATGCCAGACTGTGGGTCTTTGTCATCGTCGGGAGAAGTAGAAGCTCAAGTCTGCGATGTGCCGCTCAATTATGTCTGTGAGGTATCACCTAAAGGTAAGATGACCGATCACTTTCTAAATTCAAGTTTCGAAAATGTAATTGGGAGTTAGTTTTTGTTCAATGGGAGGTCCAGAGTAGGAAATGTGGCAAGTAAAGGTGTTTGTCAGAGATTTTTTGAGACGTGTATTTTGAACACAAACATACATGAATATGTACTCCCCCAACCACAGTCAAATAGTCTTGAATCCTTCCTTGTTTTTATTAAAAACAATTATTGGATAATGAATAGCATTGGATGATGTCATGATTTTGATTATACATTGTTTTTCTATTTCCTCCTACAGAAAGACATCAAGAATTTGAGTCGTACCTCTTTGTAAAAAGGACTTGTTGTTAACATGTAATCTGTTCAATTTGATGAAAAGCTTAATTTTTCCCCCTTAAACCATTAACCTCTTTTTAATTGCAAAAAATGATGTACTTTGTCAACAATGTTTGATAATGCATAAAAATACAATTGTCTCTTATTGAATGAGTATGTTAACGAGAGGAAATATGTTGAGTATATCTCACTCTTCTTATGTTACTCTATCCACCTTTACTTCTAACTCTTTCTTACAGCGCATAGAGATATATTATGATATGCGCCATATAAGTACGGTATATTATTATTATTATTATTTATATTTATGTCAGGTTTTGATCCAATGGAGCTAAAGGTTGAGAATCTTGAGACGAGTGGAGCTTCTTATGGAGTTGATGTATCATGGACGCTACCAGAGAATAACTGTGACGCTTTTGGCTACAAGATATACTATCAGGAGATGGACAGTGACACGGAAGAATTTAGTGAGTACAGCATCACAGATGTTTTGATGTGTTGATCTTTAATTGGTATTCCGTTTTGATTTTGCCCTTTTTTCATCTTGTAGATCCGCAACTAATCAAAGTTCTTTATTTTAGAAAATATGTTAATCTTTTAAATGTTTAAATACAGAAAAACTGTCATATTTTTTTGTAGTAATCCAAAGTGCAAGTTTGAGTGCAAAGCATTCTTTTCCTATTAATAGTTCTAGGGTTGTGGGAAAATATGATGAATATCAATATCAAAGAGTATCCAAGATGGCTTTAGTTCTATTTGTTTTGGAAGGATTACCAGGCATCTTCGAAGTGTCATGTCAGGTCGGCATAAGGAGAGAAAAAAACTTCATAAATACAGAGATGATTGATAACTACAAAATTAAAGTATAGCGACAAATGCAGACATACTGTAGTTAAGCTTTTGGTCTTTCGTCTTGCCCTCAGCAGAGTAAATCGCAAGAATGAACAGAAAACTGAAATCGGACAATATAAACGGAAGCTAAAGGAGCAAACTTCATAAATCTTAAAATGTAGTTTTTAAAGCATCTACCAACCTTGAATTTTGTGGGCAAGCTTTTCGTCCACTCCTTTAGACTTTCTAAAGCTAAGTGATCGGTCACCCGTTTTCTTAGCGCTGCCTGGTGTCTTGCGATCACTAGACCAAAGATAGATAAATAAATCTTTGTTAGAAAAGAAGTGCCAAATGAATACTTGCATTTTAAAGCAGTGCCCTTTTCTAAGACTTTTAATTTATTGTCCATTCAATGTACAGAGATCATCTATGGTGGAGACTCCATTGGTGCTCGTGTAGCAGGCCTTCTACCAAATACTACACTGGATGTAAGTGTAGCTGTCTTGATCGTAGACGATGAGCTGGAGAGAGTTGGACCTATCATCGGCGTATCTGGTAAGTCTAAGATAGAGCAGGACCCCATTTCACAAAACTTGTCATCATGCAGTGACAAATGACAGTTTCTGGTATAAGCTAGTGAAATCCTTGCTTCTGATTGGTTATCAGCAGATTTGTCACTTATTTTTGTCATTTTTCATTGAAAAAGGGCTTTGTGAAACGTGTCCCAGGGGTGCTTTATCCTAACTGTGTTAAACAAATTTCAAACACATCTTTACATGTATAGCCAGCATGATATATCTTGCATCAAGTTTTCAATTATTGAGCCCAATTTCATTATTCATCAAGATACAAATACAAAAGTAAAGGGTTATATAACAACCTGCAGGCTAGAATTTCTTCACCTTTTTTCTACTTGTAAATTTTTTGATTGACCAAACCAAGATAGTACTTGATTCTGTTTCGCTGTACCCCCTTTAGACCCGTGTCCCACTGGCTATGAGCAAGCAGCGAATGGCCGGTGCTACTGGTTCCAAGACTTTGGTCGCTATGGTGGAGGCTGGGATAATGCAAGGTGAGTGTCATAAAGAGGATAATTTCAAAATAATTTCAATTCAATTCAATTACTTTATGTAATAAACACAAGACTATATTATTGTTATAACTTCCGGAGCCTATGACCTACAAGCATTGCTTTCTCTTTAGGCTCCATCATATTTCTTCCTTTATTCAACTTAGTCTTATGTATTATTCTTTTTGTTTGTATAAATGCGTCCAAAAATGATTACAAAAATGTAACATGCCAAATGCATTAATGTATTATACAACATGTGAAATATGAAAAATAAACTGAAACTGAAACTGAAACTGAAAATTAAAGATTAGCAAACTGTAGTTGTACTAATCAGAGCCTTTTTTATCACGTTGAATATGATTTGATTTGGTATGATACATATTCTCCAAAGACACAGCCCAAGTTGTGTCAGGCTCAATATTGAACATTTTAACCAGTTGACTACTAAATCATTTAATTCCCCTAGGCTCAATACAGGATCCAACCACTTCTAGTAAGCAGTGGGTTATTAAACAAGAGATTTCTTATTTCCGGTCAACATTTCTCTTTCCCTTATATTATCTTGGATCTCCTAACCAAAAAAAGAAGAGAAGGTACACATGTAACAGCATCTAAATTGCATGCATATGTACATGTAATAGTCTTCTGCATGCTCCTTTGCAAGCTGCAGCACACCTGCTTTAGTGATTACCTGTGTAAAAAGACCACCTGTCTATACAGACCAAATTTTTGTTTCCCTTCAAAATGGTTTCTCATTGAAACATGTAGTAAAGGAACCTACCTGCACATAAAGACCACCTGAGTACAAAGAATGCTTTCCTTGTCTCCCTTGAGTGGTCTTTAAAGACAGGTTTCACTCATCCTCAAGATTAGTGACAGTTGTTTCTTGGCCAGATTCAGCACTGCAATTCAAATCTATGCTTTTGAGTTCCTCTTCATTTCGCTGAGCTACATTATTCAAGCCAATGTTTTTGCTCCACTGATTTATTTTAAACAGGTTTAATGAAAGTTCATATCCAATATCATCTGGATGAATAATTTTTCAGATTTCTGTCTTTTATATGCTCACATGGGTATATAGGGATGATATGGGGACTGGGGTTGGAAATTTTATGTCATAATGTACCCAATATCATTTGAGGAACATGGAGATGTTGAACTCAAGGAGAAAGATAAGCCTTTCTTAGTCCCAAAGTGCACTGTGTAATAGCCTAGTGTACAGTGAAACCTGTATACTAAGACCGCTCAAGGTAGACATGAAAAGTGGTCTGTATAGGCAGTTGATCTTTATGTACATATTCCTTTGGTTAATTCTGTTTCAATGAGAAACCGTTTTCAAGGGATACAAAAATGTGGTCTTTAAAGACAGGTGTTTTTTCTATATACAGGTGGTTGCTAAAGCAGGTTTGACTGTATTATCATTTTTTCAGTAAGAACTTCCCACAGCACTGTAAGGGTCCAATGTAACATTGCAATGTTCTAAGATGAGACCCTTTTCAATGTCTTGTTTTCCACAGATATTATTGCGGTGAAGCAGCAGGGAATTTTGATCATGACCTGATGATTATCGATGATGAATGGGAATTGGAATACATCACAAACAGGACCAGAGAGTTCAATGACAGTAAAGATTGGAGAATAGGTGAGTTCCAAGTTATACTCTAATGGATCTTAATTGTGTTAGGAGTTAGAAATAGAAGTAGAATACATAACAAGCAAGGCCTGATAAATGATTTTCACAAAGATTCAATTTGATAATCCATTTTTTATTATTTTTGAGGGATTCTGTGCACCTAGTGGAACTGATGAGATTTGGAAGGTTGTCCATAGTGGATACTTAAGTGCACTTCAAGAAAGAAATAGATAATCTAGAAGTGCAAAATATCAGTTTGGTTTTATACAGTACTCAAATTTGTTAAGAATATGCAAAGAAGTGAGATAATAAACAGCCCTCAGTAACCCTTCTAACATGAACATACTCGTGCAAGAAAAAAATTGAACTAAAATAGAGTAGCTAGCGGAAAGAGAGAGAGAGAGAGAGAGCTAGGGGGTTGACAAGAGAGAGAGAGAGAGAGAGAGAGAGAGGGAGAGAAAGGGAGAGGGTAAAAGGAAAAGAGAGATTAAGAGGAGAGAAAAAGAGAAAGAGAGAAGACGTAAAGGAGGGTATAGAAAAGGTTGAGGAATGAGAGAAAAGATGGAGGGAGACCAACAACAAAAGGGAACAAAATTGAACTCTGTATGTATCATAATCAGTACTCATTTGTTATTTCTGAACATGATCTTGAAGGCTACTCTGACCTGGCCGAGGAGGGGGTGTGGAAGTGGGTCACATGTGAGTCACCTGATGCATGGCAGCAGAGTCTTTGGGCACCGGGCTACCCACAGAACGGTCTAGATGACTGCGGCGTGTTTGATCCTGATAACATGACCATCTATGATCAGGTCTGTGACGTGGGTGACTTCAATTTTATCTGCGAAGTCACACCAAAAGGTGAGATAGTTGACATTGTGAACAAAGGGATATTGATGATATAGATGATCAATGTAATTCCACATAGTGCCCCCATTGTGTTTGAATTTGCCATTTGTCCCTATTATGGCCATCTACTCTGTTGCCCATGGAGTTGGAATAAAGTTTTCTGTAAGTGAAAAGATTGTGACAATATGATTCATTCATGATAGATAAAACTTAAATGTTCTAAGGACTTTACTGATTGATAAATTTTTAATAGAAAATATAAACTTCATCTATCATTCATAAATCATATTGAAATTCCTCCATCACAGTATATTGATAAGATCATTATGTTATCATTGATTTTTATCACACAGATCAATAACTACTGCAAGGCTCGAGCTTTCCAATGTTTTCATTTCTTTTTTCTTTTTAGACGACCATTTACTCTGTTTGCATTTTTATTTATACAGATTTTCGTGTAGGAGATGACAACGTCTTTAATCTCAATGCCACTGCCATTGGATGGGATACCATACGAGTCACCTGGAACGTGTCTGAATACAACTGTGATGTCATTGCTTACAACATCTACTATCTGGATACCTTCTTGGGAGGTCAGCCTGAGTGGGGTAAGTCTCTCTCATAGTTTCATCATGGAGGCATGATGGCTCAGTGGTAGAGCAGTGGTCTCGTAACCGGGAGATCCTGGGTTCAAAACCAAGTCAACGCGCTAGTGCCCTTTGGGAAGGCATTAGTCTTTATTACCAAGTCAATGCTTCAGCTTGGGTGAGAGCTGCAACCTGGCTATATATGTTGCAACTTAGCACTCCTTATTAGGTGTGTCAGAGCATTATTACTAAATAAGTTTTGCTGCTTTTCTCTAATTATTGTCTTTGTCAGCTACCCATTTCCCCTTCTAAATTCCTTTGTGCATATCATTATTTTTTTCCAGCTCTTGTGTATGGTGGTGAAGTAGATAGCTACGACATCACCATGGTACAGCCAAGCACTCGTTACAGCATCAGTGTCTCCGCTGAGCGACAGGAAGTAGAGCTCCCTCAAGTGGGACCAGTCTACGTCACAACACCTGAAGGTGACTTTCACATTATATATCAAGATAAGATAAGGTTGAGACCACTCAAGGGTAACATTGGCAGTGGTCTCTGTAAAGACTGGAGGGACAATCAGCCCCCTCTGGTACATACATGTACCTTTGCAATTCGTGTTCTTTGATGAAGTTTTATCCAAAAACTGCCACCATGACTGTATAGCTTCAAGGCTTATAGGCACTACTAAATTGAACCATCAATTTCTGGGCCTTTTTTTCCACATATTATGTAATTTTCCATATTAAAAAAAACAATGTGAAGATATAAATACTTTAATTACCAATGATTCAAATTAAGATATTAGTTCAAATATATAAATTGATCGATTCGCCACCAGCCAATATGCTTTTTTTAAAGGGTCTTTTAAATGATGCTATTTGTAATTGTTATTGTTTCAATTATTTCTTCCTCCTTCAATCCACTATCTTTCATCTCAGGACCATGTCCGGCTTACTATGAGTCTGGCCCTAACGGAGGCTGCTATCGATTCGTCACTAGCCAGTATGGTTCTATATGGACTAGCGGAAGCAGTGGGTGTTCATCGGTCGAAGACTCTGACCTGGTGGTCATCGACAACCAGATGGAGTTTGATTTTATCGTCAATCGCACAAAGGATTTCAATCTAATTAGAGATTGGTGGATAGGTGAGTCTACAAAGTTGATGTGGGTTCGATCCCCAACATGCCACTATAGTTCCTTAGGCAACATTTGCCACTACATACCCAGGAGAGAAATGGGGACCTGGTAGGATGACGAAAGCTGTGTGATGGTAATTGCCATATATGCCCTCAACATGACGTTATGGTAGGAATACTTCCATGGAGTGGAGATGGTGCACATTGTGTGCATGAATGAATCTGATGACAGAGGTAATAGTAACATCTTTGAAGTGCTTTAATTGAGACAGCATCCTGTATTTAAGCGCTATATAAATCCAGATTCATTATTTTAGTACAAGAAGTGGTTCATCTATCCCTGCATGTGGTTGATTGAAGCCATAACCCTAGTCCTAACCAAATTGCACCTGCACATCAGTTTCGTATTGTACCCAATTTGTATAGATATCAAGATCTTTGCTCACCTCCCCAATTTAACATGTACAGATATATACCGGGTAGGTGAAACTAAACATCAAGAGATGTGTAAAACCTATAAGTGGGACTAAAAAAGAGGGCATAAATTTATACTCAAACCTATAAGACACTAGCCCTCTGAATTGGTGTCTGAGTCTTGGAAAATTTCAAATAAGTTATAAGTTGCTTTTGTCACCCCTGACCAGCAGATTGTATCCTTCTCTCTCTCCTCTCCACTTCCCTAAAGCTGTTTGTATGTATTATGATATTTCTATGTATCATCTGATTGTTATACTCACTGTATGTTTTCTCATTGGTCAAATAAATAATAATAATAATAATAATAATAAGTTTGAAATTTTCATTTTGTTCATCTACTTTAGATGTGGACTTGTTAGCCATGCTGATAAGCAATCGTTTAAGCAAGCTTTTCAAGTATGTTGTACTACTCATGTACCAGTGGTGATTGCTTTATGGTCAATTTCTAATACTAACTGAATTCCTAACTTCCAACACTGTACCTAAAAGTAAACCTAAATCTAAGCCCAATCATTATAATACCCTAGTCATATTGCCAAAATCGACTCCACACCTTCTCAAAACTGACCAATTCTGGGCCATTTGGGCTAATGCAATGTTGGTCTGGTGTCAGTCCTATTTTGGTGACTGGGATATTAAATTACATGTGAATAAATCAAACATTCATTATAAATTGTATTAATATACAGATGCAAATGAGATAGGTATTTTTGATGTTCCTTTGCAGGGTTCTCTGATTTCTCTGTGGAGTCTGACTGGCGATGGGTGACCTGTGAGGCCCCTACCGACTGGCAGAACACCATCTGGGAGACTGGTTACCCTAGAAACGGTCTCCATGACTGTGGGGCTCTCAGTTCAGACAGCCGTCAAGTAATTGATGCTGTCTGTGACACACCCAATTATTATATCTGCGAGATTACACCAAAAGGCAAGTTTCATAATAAAGAGTTTGTAGTGAATTATTGTTGATGTCCTGTACTTTGCAAATGTTTCAACCTGTTGGTAAAATAATAAAACCTCTACGGAAAATGATGGACGCTTGATAACAATTGAAATGTGGTGGTAATCCATTCTCTGTACATCTTGTCCTAAAAAACAAGTGGATGGTGTTAACTTATGTGGAGGTGACTTGTGAAGTCTGATTTTTGAAATTTTTAGAAGCATAAAGAACGTTGGTCAGTAACTAATTACTATAAAGGCACTGTGTAAAAGACTGTTATTGTAATCATGATCATTAGATCATAAGACTGATTCATTAGTGACTCTCATTTGTGACTTGTCAATGATGAAATTGTACTTTTAAACTTAGTATAAGTTCTGTTGCTCGAGAAAATGTATGAGTTAAAAGGATACTTGTTTAAGTGTCCTTCCTTGTTTAGAAAAAGGCTTGATTATAATTCAGTATATTTTTTATTTCAAGTGTCAAACAGTGGGATATTTCAATCTACAGGTAATGACAAGAAAATGCTCTTCCACCTGATTTCAACCAGAATACCATATTACACCCTACAAGGGAGTTAACAGATATCACATGGTACAAATGACCCCAAATATCCACAGACCTATTACACATGGAGAAGTTCCACTTTGAGCATATTAGAATAATAACTGCCAAAGTCCTAGATGTGCTTCATGAATACCTTTTGTTTGCCCTCTTGAAAAGAATACTTCCACATGCGTATCATAGAATGTACCGTTGGTGCATAAATGATTAATGTTACATAACTTTCATGAGTGCATATCCAGTATTCATCTCTGTGGGTTTTTACCTTTTTGGTACAAATGACCTTTATCTGCCCATGCGCAGATTGTATCTGTAAACTCCCTTATTACAATCAAACAGGTTTCAGTGTCAGTTAAAATGAATTCATTGATTTAAACTTTGATGTTGCAGGTTTTACCGATGCTGATATGAACATACGTGATGTGATGGCATCCCCCATATCTAGCACTGAGGTACATGTCACTTGGATGCTTTCCAACATCACATGCAACGTCTATGGATACAAGATCTATTACGGCATACAAGGAGAACCATTTGAAAGTAAGAAGTTTATTTGATTGTTCCATTATTAACTCCTTCAAGGTTCATTCATCTGTGGGTCTTGGAATCTGAGGATTGTGACCAAATAAAACATACTTTTTTTTCTCTTCTGTTATTTCCACCTTTTTTTGTTTGTTTGCTGGCCATCTGTATTTCAATTCAATTCAATTCAATTCAATTCATTTTATTTATTTTCATTTTCAACAAAAAAAGAACAAAGGTATATACAATGATAAGCATTTGCAATATATAAGAAAGTGAAAATAGGGAATTAAAAAATGGTCTTGTGGAGGCATACATGTAGTTCCCCTAACAGTAGTTAAGAGATTTACATATACAAACAAAACTAAAAAGGAAACATACATGACAAAACATGATTTGATTTGATTGCTTATCGTATATACTCGTTCATTTATTCTTCTCCTGGTATTCTTAGATAAGTAAAACTTCTTGAACATTCTCTGTTTCTATGTATAGGCATAAGTGTGATTCATTGAAGAAAAATATAGATCAGTAGTTGTTAAATGCATCTTTTTTTTGCATTTCATTTGTTCATAATGTCTGATATTAAAATTTGATTCACAATGATGCATAGTTTACCACATGACACAGAGAAGTATACACGTACAGTCAAACCTGCTTTAGTGACCACCTGTCTACAAACATTTGTTGTTTCCTTGAAAATGGTTTCTCATTGAATCATGTACTAACGGAACCTGTCTACAAAGACCGCCTGTCTACGAAGGCCACTTTTTGTGTTTCCCTTGGGTGGTCGCTTCAGACAGGTTTGACTGTATTTAGCATATATTTTGCACCAGTTTTGATAGCAGTTATTCCAAACCATCTCAATGCAATTGTTGGTTTAATTCTTTGTCTTGTCTTTGTGCTCTCTTCTTTTAGTTACGCAGTTCCATCTGGTCTACGGTGGTAACATCACATCTTTGACTGTATCCTCACTGACACCCTCGATGCCCTATGAGTTCCATGTTGCTGCTCTGATCCCTGATAGACTGGAGCTACCAAAGATAGGACCAGCTAATGCAACCACATATTCAGGTACATCACAGAAGGCCTGTCTTCATCAGCTCGAGATTGCCAAAAAGCCCGCTCTTTCTGATTTGGGAAATAATCCTGAAGATACAAATGGCTTCTTCATCAGCTCGAGCTCGTGAAATTAGCTCAAGATATTTGCTCAGCGTTGATTCATAATGGGGATCTTTGGGCTAGTGAAGACACACCGGACATATAGCGGGATATTTTGCAAACTAGCCCAAGATATCTTGGGAAGATTATCTCAACCAAATATCTGGCTAATTGCAACTTTGGGCTGATGAAGACGCTAGATAATTTGCGATCAGGATAGTTCAATTAGCGGGATATATGGCAATATCGAGCTGATGAAGACAGGCCTAATGTTAACCCGATGACTACTCAATTCTCTGATTCCCATAGGCTTAATACAGGGATCACCTGGTTCCAGTAGGCAGAGGGTTAAATATCCTTTATTTGATATACTTGTCATTTTTATCAGTAATGGAATCCAGTAAATTCAAGGAGGGTATACCACTTTGTATCCCCGACATGTGGAAATTATTAAGGAAAATGCTTTCCAGAGATTTACTGTAACTTTATCATATGTACAAAACTAATGTCAATAACTCATCACTTCAGTGACCAACACTTTAAATGTATAAATGTATATGAAAATTTGACAAGAAATTACACTGGGCTCCATCTACAGGCTCACAACAATTTATAGATACATGTACTTGTAGTTGGAAGATGCTTTGGACAAGAGTTACTCATGCGTATCGGACCATGGGTACCATACAGTCATATGATGGAACTATGATGAAAGTTTTAGCTTAATATTTATTTAAATTTTATATTATATCACAAATTCAATCTAAATTTACATTAAAGCGACATGATTGTACACTTTATTTGAAATTGGCCATATTGAAATGCTATGCCTAATGTCCTTTGTAACACAGAATGTGGACGGACCGTCGTAGACGAGGATGGTATGATTATGAATGCTGACTACCCCAATGGATACGCTGGTCCTGAGACATGTGAATGGCTCGTCAGTGCTCCCTCGGACCAGTACGTCCTTCTGCAGGTAATACATTAGCAGTTCTAGACTCTAAACCCCTCACAGATACACAGTAGAGTGGTGTTAACTCCTCCTGTGCAGTGGAGGCAAAACATGCTCAAATATTTTCAAAGTTGTTGATTTTGTATTATGTTCATTATGCAGAGAGAGAGAGAGATAAAGAGAGAGAAATAGAGTAGTATGGTTATAGAGATACTGCCTATGGGTTTACTGTATACATGTCTTTAAAGAACTTAGCTTTAAATGCCAAGAAAGTTTAAACCACTAAAAATTGGGTAAAGTATCATTATTACCTTAAAAGAGCAGCTTGTCTTCATCTTAAAATTGAAACTAAGTTCATGAAATTTGAAGTTCAATACAATGGAACAATGTTTGTATGTAGATGAACAATGAAAGAAGGTAATACAGATTGAAACTGTCTCAAAAACTTGGGTTATTGATACATATCTGTAAACTTGTTGACATTGTGTAATTTGATGAAAACTGACACTTTGTGTTTATTTGTTTAATTTAGATACTTGACTTTGACACCCGTGCCGGAGCTGACTTTGTGGTGATCGGTAGCGGCCTTGACTTTTCTACAGAGACCACCCTCTATGTTCTTTCCGGGTCTAGGGCCAACGCTGGGACCACACCCATCCCTGGCAAGGTACTCAGTCCGGGTCAACACCTGTGGATATCCTTCAAGACCTCAGAAGCGACCCTTGATCATGCCGGGTTCCAGATGGCTGTCACAATGGTCGCTCAAGGTAAGATTATGTTGTGGGCATGGGGATTGTCATACAAAGAGAATAAATGCCCTTATTTTCAGAAGCAACATTTACATATGTAGGATTTAGAGGTTTAGCAGCAGTGATTATTTATTTAACTGTAAAAAAGCTTCTTTTTGAAATTGAATGTTAATCATAATTATTATTACCTGGACAAACCAAGTAATAATAATAATAATAATAATAAAAACGATGCTTATAAAGAGCTTACCACCAATGTCTCTTAGCGCTGAAGTGTATGATATCTTACAGAAGAATAGTAGTAGTAGTGATGGTGTATATTATAGTAATATTTCCTATTAATATATGGTATGATATGTAATGATGTACTAAGGGTAGAAAGCTCCCCTTTACACAAAAAATGAAGGAAAAAAAATCACACAAGACCTCTTTGCTTTCCTCACGTTTTCCCTGAAGGTCCTGGTACACCTGAAAGACAATATGAAGAGATCACAGAGGAAGGAACCTTCACATCGCCGGGATGGCCAGATAACCACCCAAATCTTGTGGTAACATATTTCATACATTCTCTATCCAGTGTATATAATTATAATAATAATAATAACAGTGGCTACTTGTATAGCGCACAGGTCCACCTTTCAGTGCTCATGGTGCTTAGAGAAAAATACATGTAACAAACATAAGAAAGAAAAAACAAAAAAGGAAGTTTGAAATTCTCCTCGACATAGTAAATTAGAATATTGCAATAATTACAACGAGAAAAAAAAAAAGTTTTCAGTTGTGATTCAAATGTTTCTGTTGACGACAGTTGACATATTTGTAGAGGGATCGGAGTTCATTCCAGAGTTTGGGACCCATGGCTGAGAAAGCCTGATTGCCCCAAGCATGTTTTATTCCAGGTGTATGAAAATTGTGTACTATAAGATGTTGAATAAAAAGCCCAAGGTAAATGTGTCTCGGGCAAGAACCCATGGAAAATAAATCTGCAAGGAAAAATGTTATCATCAAAAATATTTATATCAGATACATTGTTATTTGCGATGCTTGTGCAGTTGATAGCACATTGATGTTAAGACAATAATCCAACCGGTGCTATAGCTCTCCTTAGAACTATAAGCTAAGAAAGATAACCAACAGTCTTTTTTCAAGATTCCCAACAGTCCTTTTCAGGACTACACTCACATCCTCAAGAAAGATTACACAGAGTCCTTTCCAGGTCTCCTGAATCCTCCCCCTTCTCTCACATGGTGCAACCGCAAGCCTACTGTCTATCTACATTACCATGCAAGCCAATACTTATAAGCAGCATCTGACAATAATCCTATTTTCACAAACAAAATTGCTCTCACCTTTCTCATCTCACCTCACCTCACCCAGGACTTAACATGGACCCTGCTTGCTCCCAAGACTGGTCGAGTCCGAATCACCTCCCTCGAGGGCTTCCTGGAAAGCGACTACGACACGCTCACCATCGGGTACGGAAACCCGGATTCCTCTGTCCTCGGCTTCTACACAGGGGACTTCAAAATCGACGAGACCCTGGAGTCGCCCACTTATAACTTCTGGGTGCGGTTCCAAGCCGATGAGACGGTATCCAATAAGGGTTTTACCCTGAACTGGGAGTCATTTGATGATCAAGGTAGTGTTACAGATGTGTTTTTTCCCTCCTTTTGACTGGTCTGGATTCTTATTTGCTCTCAATTTCTGTCTTGCACTCTTCATTCTATAATATTTCACAGTAGAATGTAAAATATATCTTTTTTGTTTCTCTTTACAGTAGAATCTAAATCATTTGTCCAGTTTTCTCAATAAAGAAGTTGATCAAATTTGGTTAAGATAAATAGATGATTACATTTACAGTACACTGTATGTCATCAGCTAAGAGCCTGAAGGGTTGTTTGATTCAGACATTTCTTTCATAAAGATAACCCCTTTCTTGCACTCTGGAAACGATGTAGCTTTTTGTCAACCAACTTACATGTATGTTATTATGTTTACATTTAATTCACTGAATTGTTATTTAGTGCCCAATATTTATTTAACTGCAAATTTTTACCATGGTTCAGGAAGTCCAATACAATACAATTCAAATAAATTAAGTCAGTGCAATAATTTGATCATATTGAATTCTGCTATCCAATTCTATTTACTTGTAGAATCCTGTGGGACCCAAGAGTTGCTGGAAGGTTCTGGGACCGTGATGTCTCCGAACTATCCTCAACCCTACCCTGACAACCAGGAATGTACTTGGTATATCAGACTACCCAGTATGAATCATCTAGTGAGGATAGAGTTCACTGCCTTCTCACTGGAAGAGAAGTAAGTTCCTGCTATTTGTAACCTTCAGTATACTATTTAAGCATATGCTCCAGTGACAGTTGCTCCAGCGACAGTTTCTTTAAAGCCCCACTGCACTACTTATAGCTATACTTGGCCCCTCTATATAGCAAACAATGCCTAATCGGTGACCGTTGGTTCCCCATGGTCCCCTTTTTCTTATGTTAATTGAGAGCTGAGTTGATGAGATAACCACCTGTCAGTGACCATACAGGGAGGTCTTATCCCTCATGGCCAAACTAGTGCAGATGAGCTTTAATACTCCTATCATTTGAATTCCTCACTGCTAACCTGGACCCAGAATGTAACCTTTAACCTAATAAACCCTGACCCTAACCTTATGTGTTTTAACCCATTACATATGGTAACTAAGTGGCCTGTGGGAATGAGATACCTCAGTAGTTAATGGGTAAAGAAATAAAGCCTTGAGCAAATGTTGCCATCCAGAGCAAAATGTCAGATGTATGTCTCCTTTTTATTTGTGATTCACAGTATATTGTTTCTATTAGTGAGGATATCATCTGCTGGTAATGGGTTTCATATTATTACAGTTTCATATGTCTCATGTGTAAGACGTTTCATTCTATTCCCCAATGGGTTAAAAGTTTCATACTATTTGCTACCGAGTTAAAAGTTTCCTACCATTTGTATCATTTTCCTTTGCCCAAACAGCCATGATTTCTTAGTGGTCGGTACAGGAAAGACAGTCAACGAGGAAGTGATAGCCATACTGACTGGAGGCTCTCTACCTGCTCCCATAGACAGTGCTAGTTACCGTATGTGGCTACAGTTCAAGACTGACGAGTCCTTCTCAGCTACAGGATTCTCTCTGGAGTATTCTAGCATAGACAACCCAGGTAAAGACAATGATGATTGGGAGGTAGACAATTTAAATTAGGTGGTCTTTACATTCTTTACTCTATTGTAAACACTGATCTTTGGTAACACATACCCCCCCCCCCAAGAAAGACATTTTAGACAGTCTATCTTTCTATAGACATGGTCACTGTAAGTATATAGCAGACCTGCCAACCAGTGCGATTTAGTCATATTTTGTACGATCTTTAGAAGCAAATACGATTTTCCTCAAAAAAATACGATTTTCAAATAAATAAATAATTTTTCGTGTGTATGTGCCATTTTCTATGTTAAAATGCACATTCTGTTCTGTAAAGTATTCTACAAGCATCTCACATCTGCAGTTTGGGGATGTTCATTGGCTCATCGAACACAACAGTCGTGATGAAATCATGCATATATTCAACCAATGATCCATTAAAAGATTTCTTCCTGTATGTAGGAATGTTAAGAGGCATTGATCCGCGTAACAGTCCGTGTTTATTTTTAAGAATACAACTTTTGTTAGTAAAATACAACTTTTGGGATTGAAGAATACAGTTTTTGAACTCCAGAGGTTGGCAGGTCTGATATAGTTTGATACAGTGTTATATTCATATTTCCATCATTACGTACAACAATCAATGCCCAGCCTTCCATGTAGGTTTCTCCATTGATGCAGGGATCCTAACACGCTGCATACCTTCTCTTAATACAGAACCACCCACACCGTACAATGAGATCACTGATTCTGTCGTCTTCATTGTAGAAGGTGAACCTGTAGGTTGGGTAAGTTATGCCTATCACATTCAACTCACATTAATCATGCCTGTTCCATGTAGAAAATACAAATAACTTTCGGATTAGAATTCCCAGAGTGAGATATTACTGTAATTTTTTTTTTCAAAGAAAATTTTATTCAATCATTCTTGAGCAAGAACGAAACAATAGATTTGAACAAAGTACATGTTGTGACATATCGGTAAAACAAACATTGTTACATCAGTTGCACAATTTTTTGTTTTATCGTGAATCATCTTCCATGGAGAAAATATCTACACAATTATCTGTTTGTGATTCACAAAGAAATAGAAACATTCCTGTCTTAGTTCCCACGTATACATGTAGACCAACATCTAAATTCTGAAAGGGTTATTGAGGAATATATAAAATGTCATTCTTATAAATATTTTTGCATATATCTTGCTGTTTTCAATACAGAAGAAGGGAAGATATACTTGATATTCGAGTTCATTATTTATCTGTTCTTCAGTTTAAAAAAACATGCAAAACATTAAAATATATACAAAGCATTTCAAGGTAAAATACAAGGTACATGGAATGAATTCATATATTAAAATTAAGACAAATAAAAGGGCCATCATTCAAAGCCTACTGAGGCTTGACAGGTTGATGTTCCCAAGAACTATCAAGTTACAAGATTAATATTTCGGCGCAGAATAAAAAATATAGGTAAAACAAAGGTGTTCAGATGTAGATTAAATGTCATTTAATAAAAATGGGTGGGATATTTTTCTATTATATGCTTGTTACAGTTTTAAGTAGTTGTGTCTTTATGCAGAACTTGTTTAGAGTGCATGTTTATGTTTTATGGGGAGGGAGCAAGTGGTGACATGACACCAATCCTTTTTTAAAATATTTTACTTTACTCTTTTATTTACAGCAGAATTTTATAGTAATATATCATACTCCATTTATCATATACTCCATTTATCATATTCAAACAAACATTCTCTCTTGCAGTTCACCCCTACACGTCAGCAAGACTTGGCCACCGGTATAGCTATTTCAATGACTGATTACTGCATGGATAGATCAGATACATGTGAGGAGATGGTATCAGTAAGAAGGAGAAGAGATGCAGGCATCCTACAGCTCACATTCAGGTACCTGTGGTATAACATCTGGGGGGTGTTTCACAAAACTTGTCATCAGTGGCAAATGGCAGTTTTTGTTATAAGCTACTGATATCCTTGCTTCTGATTGGTTATCTGCAGATTCGTCACTGATTTTTGCCATTTGTCACTGATGACAAGTTTTGTGAAACGGGCCCCAAGGGAGTGTTTCACAAAGGCTAAGATCGACTTTAAGTTGGACTTAACTATGGTAGGCCATTCTTGCCACTGGTTGCTCTCACTACTGGTCTCTCTATTATGATCTTCAGATAATATTCTTCCTTCAATAATGAACTATCAAAAATGTAAATTCTGTATATTAGTGACCATGATTTGTACATCCATTGAGAGACCAATGCCAGTAAATGGGGAGAGTAAACAGTGGTTTGAACGGCCTGCCATAGTTAAGTCCAACTTAAAGTCGATCTTAGTCTTTGGGAAACATCCCCCAGTCATCTAATGTGACTGAGAAATCTGAGATGTAATGGAATTAATAATAACGCATATTGCTCTTAGTTTATATGGTCAATGTTGAATTATCTGATGGTGATTATACAAAGTGGAATTTTGAACTGACAGACTGGTATTTTAACTATTCTTCAGCACTAATTAGGACCTATTTATTAATTGTTTTAAAAGAGCTAAGCATACTGTAGTAGCATGAAAAGACGCGGCACAATTGTTAATGATAGCATTGAATTGATATGTGTAGTGTGACTTTTCCAATCTAATTACAGTTTTTTGTGTGGTAATATTGAGCTTAGTCAAGGTAGGAGGAGTAATAACCAGATCTATGTCTTGATATGGTTCTTCCTCTTTGCAGTAAAGTATGATTTTCAACCAGTTTGCAATATGATATGCCACTTTATGTGCTACAACCTTTGCTTTAGCAACTTTTAAAACAAAATGTAAACACTGGCTGGTTCGTTATTTATGAATTAGCAAATATGACCTAACCGTAATACAGAAGTTTAATACTTATAATCTGTTTACTACTCAGAGCTGTGTCAGTTTCAAATAGGTTTCAGTCTGTCAGTTCTAAAAGCCTTTTGTTTCTCTGATCACAGCGCGGAGGATGTCGAGTTCCTTGACACCGTCGCCGTAGAGGACGACCTCCACATCACCATGTGGGTGGGCAATCCCAGCATGGTTGACGAGGACATCGTCAGGGGGATCGAACCGGAGATCGTGCAAACCTCTCTCATGGAAGAGACCTCGCAGACGACTCTCGAGGAGATCATGGGGGAGGGGTTTGCTTACAGGGTGACCCCCAATGCGCTGACTCCGACCAACGGACCCGGGGGAACCGAACCCCCTCCCCAGGGTCTTGAACCTTGGGCCATCTCGTTGATTGTGGTGGCAAGCTTTGCTGTGGTTTTAGCAGCGGTTGTTGGACTAGAGGTCAGGTATGGAGAATTTCACAGTCTAAATGATGATTTTTTGTCTTGTTTCTGCCTGGAGCCAGAAGGGCATTTAATCTTTGCTGTAGTACATGAGTTAACACAATTCTGGCTCCAAACAGACAATTAAACTTAGCTTTTGCATACTGCTATTAATGCTTCTTTCACTTCTACAACTACTGCTTCAAGTAATACTATATCAACTGCTATGGCTGCTATTACCATGGACATACTACAAATGGACATTCGTTGGCGAGAGCAGTAAAACTAATGATAGCTACCACGTGTTCTCATGTCTTACTTTCCTCTTTGTTTTAAATCTGAACGCAACGCTGCAGGCATTTTTTGATAAGCTCTGATAAGGAGCATTTGGTCGTATGAGATCCGCCACGATTTTGCCGCCCTCTATCAGCGGAGTCGTTTCACACTGATCACTGCTTCCCACAGTTTATACTTCTCATTTCATGAATGATTCGTGACATGAGAACCTTTTGCCCGTGCGCAGTTAAAAACTATTTCAGGGGTGCCCCGTCCATCCGTCCTACAAAGTAAGGTTAAATTATTGGCATAAGCCAATTTTTATATAAACAGTGACCAATCTCTCTCTTTATATATCTATTATTTTATTCTAGTCTACTTTTTATGTATTTTTTTTCTTCTCCAGACATCGAAGGAAAAAAGCGAAATTGCAGACCCCTGATGGGTTAATGGGATCACAGGAGCTCCACACAAAGAGTAAGCATCAAAGTGGCATAATTTTCTCAATTAGTTTGTCTTTAAGTTGAATTCAACATTGATTACATAAAAGCAAGACAGGCCCAGTCCATCCTTATATTGGTGGTTATTGAAAGAAATGTGGAAATTGGCCAATGAGATTGTAGATAGGAAACCAAAATTGCCATTATACCACTCTAAAAAGGGGAAACCTGCTTCAAAAGTAATAAACTTGTTTTTGTAAGATTTTCACTCATCTCCTTTTCCTCTTCTTTGTAATAGGACTTGAAGACATATATCTATCAATTCTTATCTTTATCGCATGATGTTGCATGTACACTGTACAGGGGAACTTCAATATACAGAGCTCTGATATAACGAGGCATCTATTAACAATGTGATTTTTCTGGTCCAAGCTCTTTATATTATAATTGTTTGTTTACCCTGATATAACAAGGTTATTTCTATGTACTTTAATACCATTCTAGTAATACCCAATTACAGCAAAATAGAGATACAACTGTCATCATATGTCACACACATCTCATTGTTTTGCTCTTTTGAATGGCAGGCTACGAAGAACCAGATTATGCAGTGCCTTTAAGCCGGTCAGATAGATATGCTGCTGATGCCAGTGGCCAAGAGTGAGCTATGATTTAAATATTGTTATTATGATATCTGTTTTCAATATTTTGTGTACTGGTAATTGCCGGGGGGGGGGGGGGTCAAAGTGATGAAAAAGGAGAAGTAGAGAAAGAACCAGAATAGCTAGGAGAGAGAAGAAAAAGAGCAGGAGGAAAATAAGAGGGGGAGACAAGGGGTGATGACAGAAAAATACAGGAAGAAAGAAAAAGAAGACAAAGGAAAAGATGAAGAAGATAAAGAAGAAAAAGTTGAACAAGAAGAAGAAAAAGAAGGAGGAGAGAAGGATGAGGAGGGAAAGGAGAAGAGAAAGAAGAAAAGAAGAGGAAAATATAAATAGGTAAGAGGAGGAAATAAAGAAAGAGGATGAGGAAAATGAAAAAATATGTTTTTAAAATCATAAGATGCTGTTTAATATTTAAAATTGTTATTCTTTCATGACTAATCTTCAATACTTTATTTCTTACTTTAATATTCACAGGAATGATGGATTTGAAGATGGAGACAATACACAATTTTGATTGAGTAGCTGCTGACCTTTCCTTGTAATGAACATCCACCTGTAAAGTGTTTTGTCCAGTATTTAACCTCTCATTACTCTATGCATGTTCAGTGTTTGGTGTTTTTAAGTGTAAGTGTTAGTGTCAGAAGAAGCCCTAGCTAATATTAACTATGTATCCAATTGTAAAGTGTTTTGTCCAGTGTTTACCCTCTCATTACTCTATGCATGTTTGGTGTTTGTAAGTGTTGTCCGGTGTTCACCCTCTCATTACTCTATGCATGTTTGGTGTTTGTAAGTCTAAGTGTTAGTGTAAGAAGAGTAAGGATTATTATTAGTGTTAAAAGAAGCCCTAGCTACTATTTACCTCTACTATGTCTCCACTTGTAAAGTGTTTTATTCAATGTTTATCGCTGCCATTACTCTATGCAGGTTGTTTAATGTTGGTGTTTGTTAGTAAGTGGCAATTTAATGGTTAATGGTAAGGCGATCACTTTTGAAATATCAACAGCTCATTTGTAAAGTTTAGTACATGTTTAGTGTTATACTATGTTCTTATTCCTAGCAAAAAAAAATTCGAAAGAACAGATTTAAAGAATATGATATACGTGTATATGTTTAAGACATTATATGAAGTGTAGGTTGAAGATAGTGTTAAAATGCTTTTTGATTACTATTTACCAGAAACTTGACATTATTGTGATAAAATTTTGGTTCAGTTTTCTACAAGCTTTTGTATGAATCAGCCAGACATATAAACGCGTTTCTCCTATTCTTTATTTCTTTTTTTTTTGTCTTCATGGTTTTCACCAGACTTAAATCCTTCTTTTCTCTTCACTTTCCTGTTATCTTCCTCTTCTTCTTTTCTTCTTCTTCTTCTTCTTCTTCTTGTTCTTCTTCTTCTTCTTCTTCTTCTTCTTGTTCTTCTTGTTCTTCTTGTTCTTCTTGTTCTTCTTCTTCTTCTCCTTTTTCTTCTTCTTCTTTTCTTCTTCTTCTTCTCCTCCTTCTTCTTCTCTTTCCCTTTCTTTTCTCCTTCTGTACTGCTTTTTTTTCTTCTTCTTCTTCTTCTTCTTCTTCTTCTTCTTCTTCTTCTTCTTCTTCTTCTCCTTCTCCTCCTTCTTCTTCTTCTCTTTCCCTTTCTTTTCTCCTTCTGTACTGCTTTTTTCTATTATGGGGGGGGGGGGGGGTCCCTTTGTAGTTTTTTCCTCAATCTTCAGTATAAGATGGTATACCGTACTAATATTTTACACATTACAGAAAATAGCAAATACAATATTATGTTTCATATTCCTATTGCAATTACATGTATTTGTTTAAAAAACAAAGTTTAATCACAAATTCTATTAAAACACAAATTCTATTAAAACAATAATTCTTTTTGAAATAACACCTGTCATTACTTCCATTCCTTTCCAGTACTGTAAACCACAAAATGAAGAAACATAATTCTATATTGATTTGTTTTCTTCTCTGTTAGTAAAAGAAAATGTATTCAATCATCTCAACGGATCATGATTAAGATTCTTGTTTCATGATCATTACTAAATATGTCAATCTTTTCTTTAGAGTTTTTCTGCACTTTTTCAGAATACTTTCTTATCTGTAAATGTTTTGTTAATGAAAAGAAACACTTTTCTGCCAGTGGCCAATGAATAAAGAGAAATTTAAGAATTTAAGCTATGATGTACAGTGTTGTTTTTCCCCATCTCTCTTTCTCTCTCTCACTCTCTCTCGTGTCTCTATATTTCACCAAGCCTTCAAGACAAGGCCTTTTGAACAAAGAGGTAGATAATGTATTTATTTCTATTTGCCATCCTAGACACAAATTACCACTGGCTCGTAATAGAAAGTTAGATATATCACAATTATTCATCATCATATTGTGAAAGATAGATATTTAAACTAAAAAGTGATGAACGTAGGACACTGAATTTTCTCGGGCAAGGTCTATAGATAAAGGTAAAGTTGGTTTTAACCTCAAATTAAAAATGTATAATCTTAAGTGTGGAGTGGAATGACACTGCAAGAGTGTGATAGAATATCAGAGACTGGAGATGTGTGGAGAAATGTTGCAATCAACCTTGGAAGTGGGAGAAGATCGAGAAGATGCCTTGATAGATGGAATGCACACTACAGTTGTATATATATATATGTAAGGATCAACAACAGGTCTTGACGAATAAACATTCACAACAAGGAAATACTCAAAGAAGACATTATCTGCCCTTAAAACATTGACACGTAGTTCCCTTATAAAAAAAAATCTATGTGCTTGTAGGGACCAAAGCCAAAAGCCCATTTTGACGCTGGGTTTATGCTTCTGTCCGAAATCGGGTTCAACAAAGGAAGCTAGTTAGAGCTCTAATTTTACTTTTGTTAAACGTGATTTTTAGGCACAGGGACCCCTTAAACAAATTAGTAGAATACAGGCCAATGTGTCTGATGATGCCTTTGTTATATTGTTAAAACTCGAATCAAACCAGCTTCCAAAAATCGAAGCGACCTCTTGAAAAGCGTCGCTGTTGTCTTAATAATGGGGCTTCAACCCCTCGACACTTGCTAAATGTTGACATGCTATTCACAGGTCGTTGAAGCACCATTCATATTTCGATCTCTATTTTGTGGGTCATTTGAAGTTCTCCTCTCGACTTTTTATCCGATTAAATCGTATGAAGTGGAGCGTGGAAGCCCACTTAACGCTTACACAACTCCTCTTTAAAGTCGCCCCTTTAAGGTCTCCTCACTCTTGAAAGCGGAACGCCTTTTCAGACTGTTTGACTAAAATTCTATTGGTGTGGTCCCCGTCTTATAAAGAGTTGCGATCGCAACTATGTATATAAGAGATAGGAGACTGCAAACTTGCGATTGATTATAGGAATTGTGATTGATTCGGATCAATTGCAACTCTTTATAAGACGGGGCCAATATTTCTTTTATAACAAGTTAGTGATGTTCGCCGTAGAGCAAAACACTATACTTTTCATATAACCGACGATCAATGGAGATGTGGAATTAAACTCCCTATATAACGGCCATCGCCCAAATGGCTTCTTAATTCGGTCACTGGCCGTACACTCAGACATAGTGAAGTACATGAATAAATAAAATGGCCTAAGATTGACACAATTTCAATTTTAAAATTATAACTTTCAGCATGCTAGCTAGATACGACTTTAATGGTGTTAGGTTATCCATTTGGTTGTATCCAGCAATATAAAAAGAGAGAGAAGCAGCATTTTTAAACACTCATCCCAGTAAAACTGTTCCGTGTTGCAAGAGAGAGAGAGAAGGCTAATTATTTTTATAGAAATTTGTTATACAGATTTAAATTTACTGAACTTGATTTTGAACAATAAGCATTTTCCCTCTAGTTTATATTCATTGAATACTTGTCGTCGTGATGTAAGAGCGTACATAATATTATTCATAGCTTGGACCTTCGTTTCAGTTGGAATGAAATAAGTATATTAAGGAGGAGTTCTCAAGTTCTTAAATGAATAACTAAAAGCTATAATCTTCACATGTGCTTCTATCATAATACGGTTTATTGGTCCCATAAGTAAAAGCCTTATTTGTTACCCCTCCATTCGCACCGAGGTCCATGATTATCCATCAATTACAAATGTTTTCCTTTGGGTAGCCCGAACGGGCAACGGACAAAAGAGCGCGCACTCCAATCCTCCTTGTTAAACAGTGGTGCGAGTGATGAAAGAAGAGATGCGGTTTTAACATCAAACGAAGCCTCAGAAAGGAGGGGGATTGAGAAGTGGAAGGGGGGTATTGACAATAACTTCTTCAAACGGCGTGTCATTAGATCAACATTATTCAAATCCGTGTGTCAATATGATTTTTGTCTAGCGCTTCTCCCATAGTTGTCGCCTGTGATATTGTGATGCAAAAATACCTGTCCTCGCCAAGTCGATGGAGAAGCGTTCAGAGACAATTACATTAAAATGGCCTGCGAAGCAATGGATGACGGCATGTTGATAAGAAACGCTTCCTTGTGAAGTTATTCATTTTACCTCACATGAGAGCTTTTGATAAACATTTCCACTCCCATCAACACTTTAAACTCGAATAAAACATTAAAACATTAACGTGCTAAAATAAATAATAAATGTTAACATATGATATTCCCTACTGTCTAACGGGCTCCTGCTCTTTCTTTGCCACTCTGTTTCTTCACCTAAGCTTCCAACCTCCAAATAATGTTCACTCGACTATACCCGCCCCCTATTTCTCTCCCTCTCTCTCTCTCTCTCTTTCTCTCTCTCTCTCTCTTCCCCCTTTCTCTCTCTCTCTCTCTCTCTCTCTCTCTCTCTCTCTCTATCCCCCTCTCTATCTCGATCTCTTCATCCCCATCACGTTCAGGCTAACTGGTTGAACTCGAGCCTGAACCCGAACTCTCCCTCATATTTCCAAATATACAAAATCATTATAAAACTAAACACCGGGTGCACGAATGTTTCAATAAACATATCCTCATAACCTAAACTTCATCTGGAACGTACTTGCACAGTATGTACAGGTCCAAGGTGATCTAAGCGCAGAAATCAGGGAGGGGGGGGGGAGGGGAAGTATAGGCACACTAAGATACAGTATCATTTCTAGGAATGATGTAGAGCATTTTTTTTGTTAGTAGTATAGATTATTATTAACAATGAATAAGAGGTATGAGGCCTAGTCTAAAAATGGTCTGCATCATTCCTGCAGAAGATATTAATTATTCTAAACACACTTTCCAAAGCGAGGTTAAAATCATGTTCCTCTTCACCCCGACTTTATGATTCACCCAATGTTACACCCCACCCCCCCCCCCCCCCCCTCCGTCCTCTCCACCACCACCACCACCAATACCACCATCACCATCTTAGGAGCGAGACGGTATTTCCAATCAGGACACCTTTTCCTCCTCAAAAACAATTTGCCATGGAACTCCGTTTACCATAGGGAGTCGAACTTCGTCGTGTACTGTTGCATGTCTCGCAAGGGCGATCAACTCTCATTCAACAACCCAAAACTGATTCAAGTCAGACGGGTTTTTCTATTTTTTTAAACAAACATTTATTGTCACAGTGTCGCAGAAGAGGGGTATTCAACACCGGCACAGCGAGACGGATACTTCATATTCAATTTGTCTTGAAGAAAAGGTAAGTCATTCATTTACAATGTTTGATTAAGTGACATGCATGATATGCCATTTCTCAAACTTCAAAGACATGTGTATACGCACTATAATTACCAACAGAGCGAAAATTGGAGGTCCATTTAGATGACAGTCTACAGGCACACACCTAGGGCCCACCTACATACCTATATTTTTCAATAAGCTCTTGTTTACATTCATTCGTCGAGTACATAATATGCATCCGACCAGGCTTGGTGCAATCGGGGTTTCTTTTCATAAAACTGAATAGAAAGATTTATTCCAAGTCATGCGAAATAGATAGACCTATTGTACAAAAAGATATTCACTGCACCTGTTTAGTATTTTCGAAGCAAAAAAATGTATTTGAAGAAAGAAAAAAAAATCGATTATTGTGCCAGAAGTGTAGCATGATTCCCATGTCTTTCTGTTTTCTGGGTACTTGAGATATTTCTTCATGTGTAAAATTCATCTGGGTTTGAGGCAGGACCATGTATGCATTGAGTTAGAATAGAGATTTTATCAAACCTAGGCCGGACAGGAAGCGATATTGCATTTTTTCATCTCATTTTATCAATGTTGTAACCCATCAAAAGGCAAAACTATTGGAAACAAGGGAACTTCGAGAAGCGCTGTTTTTGTTTTGTTTTGTTTTGTTTCTCTTCAGATCATTAAGTCATAGGTCCATGTGGTTGGGTCAAAATGGTGAAGCTTTGATATCAATACGAAAAACTTTCACGTATATGAAAATAAGTTTAGGCTATAATTATACGTCAATCCTGAACTGTACACGTCTCGATTCATCATACATGTAGTTAGTATAGACAGAGATATCTCATATCCCTTGTATAGGCCTATACTCTTAATCACGCCTTCTATTGAGACATGCAGAGTCTAATGTTTCGTCACGCGTCGCGCATTTCTTCAAAGAGTTTACTCTCTTTTTTGTCTATACATCATCAGTAGACAATCGTCCTTTTTCTTCTTCAGTTTCATCGTGGTATCATGCAGACGACAGATTACCAAACTAGGACAAAAGACGTTTCCCTCCTAAACTCAAAGTTCATGTTGACCATACTGCTCAGTGAGTCACCTTGTGTCTCTAGTATTAAACACCTCAGTCACACCGGCAAACTGACTCCGAACCGACCAATTATTTTCCATTCGGGGTAATGTAATTATTTTGTTCACTTTGTTGTCGGTTTCATCGTTGTGACTAGTGCATGTCACACCGTCAAACCGACTCCAAAACCGACCGATTCCTTTCCATTCGGGGTAATGTAATTAAATGGTTCGGTCTGGTGTCGGTTTTGTTGGTGTGACTCGGGTATATCGAGGACAAACATAGAATCCCAACCCGTCACACATGGTTTGCCTAAATGTACACATGCTGTGAGGACTAACTTTCTTGTTTAGCATTTCCTTTTTTAACCCGAGTTTATTAATCATCTCTTATTTTTGTCTTGAAGACTCACTCCAAAACATTCTTTGTCTTTTCTGTATCATTTTTGTAATGGTTATTTTGGGGGTTGCGGTTAAAGTGCTTGATTTATTTGAATTTGAATAAAGAGAGTGCTGGTTCTAGTATGTGCCCGATGCCCGTGTATCCACAGACTAGGCAGTAATTTACAGTTACCTCTCTCTACCCATGTGTAGGGAATGGGAAACTGGTATGAAGGTAACATAATCATCGGAGCTACGTTCTCAAAACTCTGGCTTACTTGTTACTCCTATAGGGTTAAACAATTGGGGGAGGGGGAAGCAAACCTTCGCTCATGCTGGGCCTTTATTATGGAATACTCTCCCTCAATGGATTAAGAATAGCAGTTCTGCTGAAGTGTTAAAAAACAATCTTAAGAAATATCTGTTTAATTTAGCTTATAATTGATTACCATTACCGTTCATGTCTTTACCTTTCCTATTGCACTTTATATGTATCGTGTTTTTCATTTTTAGCACAAGCTGCGCCTTGAGCATTTGACTGTCAAGTGGATTTGGCGCCTTATAAATCTTATGTATTATTATTATTATTAAGCAACAACCTTAACATTTAGTAGGCAAGCTTCCATCCGTCCATTCATGTGGTCTTGGTTGGTAGAAGCCTAAAATACAAGTTATGATTACCTCAACCAATGAAAGTTCTATATATCATTGGTAGGTGCTCCCAGAATGGTGATAGTCGAGACTAAAACGGTGTTAAGGATGCTTTCATTTGGGCGCCATTTTGTGGGAGATGTGTACAAGATGCACATATATTTCTGCTTTAAGAAAAGAGGAGTATACCAGGAGATATAGAACTGGAGATTCACTGCTGTAATTCCTATCAACTAACAGTTTTAAAAAGATTATTGCACATCGACTCAGCTTAGAACCCTGGACCGTCGATGTCTCTTCTCTTAACAGTGAAGCTTTAAACTTCCCGGTGATATAGTGTAATTGCACAACACCTAATGAAAAGGGGAAGGGTATATTTGGCGGTTCCACTTGAGGGATAGAAGAAATGGTTCTGCGGATACAGTTAGGGGAAGGATCTATGTAATACAGTAATATCTTTAGAAGGCACTTATAAAAGAAACGATTGCAGTTTATTGCGTTCAATAATGATGCTTATTGTCTCCCATGAAGTCTGTTTTTCAGCTTTGATTTATAGAACCACTCCTGAAGGTATTGTGCTAAATGGGATGTAATTTAATTGTTAAACCCTCCCCACATTTTTCCTTTTCAAATCCATGAATATTCAAGATTGCTATATAAGCCCCATATAGCTGGTGTCCCGATTATGATCACAGCGTTATGATTGATGAAATAGTAGCACAAAACTATTTAATCGCACTCCCTAAAATTGAGGGGTGATCAATCATATCATTTATGAATACACGCGACCTTGGTCATTTCCAACGTGCATATAAACACGCCCATCGTGAAAAGAAATACGAATGCATTCCCATTATTCAAATATGAAAATGGCTTATCGGGGCAAACACAATATATGAGTTTTCGCATGTTCCCACGAACAAAGTCCACCGTGCTCTGAGCATCCTGCCGATTAGTGAGGGGGCATGGGGGCACTGGAGCCCATACCCCCTCCAATTAAATGACAAAAATCGAAAGCAGGGGCAAAACGGAGCGGGGGGGGTGGGTGAAACGGAAGAAGGGATGAAAATAAGAGAGATAGGATGAACCGCTCTCCCAGACGCGCGCTCACCGGCTTGGTCGCTTCCCTTTTATCCGACCAGACCAATGACCCTTAGCTTCCCAACCCCCCCCCCCCCCATGACTGAACCCACGCTACTGCACTGATTACACAATGAATGGATGTGGTTCATACTCCATAAAAATGTACCCAGTAACATAACATGCCTATCTAGAATGGGGACTTTATTACGCATATGCATATTGGCATGTAGCCTTAAAGGTGAAATCCAACCTGATATTGAGTTGGTTTGAATAGAAGAAAAGCAAAATGAGAGGAACGGATCAGTGAAATTTTGAGTAAATTCCGATTAAAAATATATAAATTATTTGTTTTAAAGTTGCAATTAATCAAACTCAAATTGGTAAATCTGTGACGTATTTTGTGAGCTGCCCCCCCCCCCCCCCCCCATTTGCCTAATACATGTACATACAATTTCATTAACTTTCATCCTCTTCATTATTGATGACGGAATACATTTTATTCTTACCTGGGTTTTATAGAAACCTATCTGCAATAATTATATTTAGGGCGCAAGTATAATTGCCAGTTTTCTTGAGGGAAAATGTAAATTTCTGTTTGTTTGTTTTTTAGTACAGAGGAAATGGGAGGGGAGCTTACAAGATACGTCACAGAGCTGCCAATTTGTGTTCGGTTGAAGGCAACTTCAAAAATTCATAAGTTTCTTATCTTAGTTCAGTTTTTGTTCAAATTTCCATTGACCTGTTTCTCTCATGTTTCTGCTTCTATTCAAACAAACTTAATATCAGGGTGGACTTCCCCTTTAAAAGCGTATATCTTGCATACAGGTTTATATCCTCTCTAAAGTGTTGAAAGCCCCAAAATGTCATGTCATTTAAGACACACTTCTACAAAGATTCCCCCCATCCAAAAAAAAATACGACATCCTCTTTCACCTTATGATACAATTTAAGTAAACTTTTGCCATCAAATTTGTGGCGAATTTGGGGATCCCAAAACTTTAAAGGGGCTTTAATACCAGACCCCCCTCCCTCTCACTCTCTCTCTCTCTCTCTCTCTCTCTCTCTCTCTCTCTTTCCCTCTTTCCCTCTCTCTCTGCTGCCCTACTTTCCTTTCTTTCAAACGTCAATCGACCAACATCCAAAGTTATTGGCAGTTCCCTTTTTTCAATCTTCACGCAGACTTTTGGCCCACTGTACAACCCTGCAGCTTTCTTTCGTCATCTTTTTACAGCTGTATTGTACTCCAAACCTACACAAGTCCAGACCAGCATGTGCCCAATATTTCCCCTATCAATTTTCATTATTATTCTCATCTTTCCCGTGTGCCGATCGGAGAGGAAATCAGAGACTCAATTTTTTTAAACAAATAGGAAACACGTGCACGGAAATCAAAGCAGACAGACTCGAAGTCCTGCTGTTTGATTAGTTTGTTATGATCCAGTTAAGGATGTCTAAAGTAGGGAAATTAATCTTACCAAGAAAGAATTATCAAGAAAGTATTAGATGTTCAATTTCATGTTGTAAGATTGTGTGATATACCTGTTTCAAATAATATTGCTAGACAATGGTCCCCCCCCCCCGTTGTCCGGATATGAGGTAGGCTTGCTACCTCATGAATCATGAATTATTGGGGGGGGGGGGCTGCAACACCTAGCCCCCTCCCGCCCGCTCACACATTTATACTTTGTATTATTAGTTTGACGCCATTTTCGCATACTACCCCCACTGTCCCCTGGCCACTCAATCATGTAAACAGGTAAATTTAAACCTTGTCAAAAATGACTTGCACAGGGAGAAGAGGTTTCCTATAAACAGGGGGGGGGGGTGGGGTCGAACCGAATCCTCAATTCAGGGATTTGAGGGGGTTAGGAGAGGGGTGAGAGGGGGGGGGGGGCTCAAAACATAAAGTATGTGGCTAGACAGGTTCAATGTACCTCCTTAAGAAGAAAAACCCGATCCTGCAATAAATCTAACTTAATGTCTGGGATCAGACGAGCAAAACATGTATTCATGTTCAACTTTATCCAACATATAATGTTCGGGTCGAAAGTCATGATCGTTCGTGGTAATTTGCGAAATGAGAAAAATGAAACGGTCGATTTCACACCGGTATATAGCAAGTAGAATATGTTCGAATTATCTTCACGTTTCCGAGCTTCTGGATATTGAATTTTCTTTCATAATTATTGTAAACTTTTGTTTTCTTTTGTTTTGGGGGGAAGGGGACTTCAAAAACGTAGTTTCAAATTGGAATCATAGATTTCTAGTAATATAGTGCAAACTTAAGAGAAGAAAAATATGCGCCAGTTCATTACATTTTCCCTTCTCTTTGCATCTTGCTTGGGAAGTAATTCGTCTTTTGTTCACCTGTGCAATGAAATGAGTACAGTATAGGCCCTACAAGTATCATATAGTTTTAGCTTTTTTTTTCTTTGGGGGAGGGATTGTTTGTTTGTTTCGTTTTATTTTCATCCTACCGGTAAAATTAAAAAAGAAGATATCAGGAGCGTACTTTCCGTTGTGTGAAGACGTACTAGATTTTGAAATAACTTATGGAATGCATTATCGGTAGACGTGTTTATGGTTTATCGCTAACCTTTGACATACATAGTCATTTAGGGAACACATTTTTGCCGAAAATGTGATGTTTACCGAATTACCGACATGAAAAGCTTGAACCCAACTGTAATAGAAAATTGTATGTCTATATCAAATTGGCAAGGCAACATTTGTGCGCTTGTCATACGATACCTTTTCGTATGGTAATGGGTTTTTGTTATGGCAGAAAATGTTTATAAATTGGGTATTCATGTTTCCCTCCATGGGGGCGTAACGATGTAAGGAGATTCTCTGATCGATTGAAGAACGGACTTGACAGCTATAACGGTTACCATGGTTACCAGGTCGTTGTATTCCCCTTTCTCCATCATCTTGTTCATATCTTCTTCTACTTACTCTTTTTGTTGTCTTATCCTCCTCCTTCTCTCACTCCTTCTTGTTTTGTTTTCTTATTCCTTTTTCTTTTTCTAGTTCATCTCCCTCTTCATCCTTCTTCTATTTGTTTTGGTATCTTCGTATTCCTAGCTTCTTCCTTCTCTGTTTATTCTTCTCTGTAATCTTACTTTTTGCCAATTATTTCTCAGTGAACGTTATGACTTGGTATTGAGCAATTCTACCAATGAGGAAGTATTATTATGTTTAGTTCGCTTGAAAGTACATTTTATTTCGACTCAATTGTGTAGTACCACTAGCCCCAAATTCGAAGAGAATTTGTTTCCGGTTTATTTTAGATGTAACATTACCCTATTGACGCCATGCATTAATGACACAAGGTGCTTGTCATTAATTTTGTCTGACGTAAGAGCTCCTTAGGGACCGGTGCCATTTTCGAATGAGGATTAAATTGCAGAACAAATTATTATTAAATGAACAACCACACCTTTGCCTATAACAGCTAGCGTTGATTGTATTAATAGGTCCTGGAGTAATTAGCGCAGGTAATAGCGTAATCGAAATGACGCCTCATGCACAAAGGTTCTTAGACAGCTGCGGTATCTTCATCATAAAGCTTGACTTTAAGACATTATTATTACCTCAATGCCTCACGAGATGAAGTTTAGCGGCTAAATGCAACCCTGTCCTTTGACATATTATCCTACGGAATCCTGTGATATCCCACAAAACATTGCGATATTCTACGATCTACGAAATATTGCGAAATCCTACGAAATCCTACGATATCCTACGAAATATTACGATATCTTACAACCTTGCGATATCTGTCTACACTTTTTGATTGAGAAAAATATGTGAATAACATCGTATGCTATGCCAGCCAATCTTAAGGAATGGTAAGCATTTACACATCTTCTAATGGGGCCTTTAGAACAGACTCGCTTCTCGTCCTAGGCTTCTGAATGAACGGAGGAGCCCCCGCCTTGGCCATGCCCCTCTCCCTACCCCTTCCCCCTCCATGGCTTCAATCAGACTTTGGTCTACATGCCCGGGTCATCTCAGCACGATTTCTTTCTCAACTTGTTCCAGCTGTGTGCATACGTCATAATAGGTTGATTTGGCCGAGGCGGGGAGTGCAGTGAAGAAACTCGGCCAATGTGGATTGAGGGAGATTGGAGACTGACACTTCACATCCCTTCACGTACTTAGGTTGTCGTGAAGGGAGGTAACTTTGTGAAATCGTGGAAGACGAACGATACAAAATTTGAATATTTTAAAGTTCTTGGGAACCGGATTTTCCGTCTGCAAAGAGCATGAATTACGTTTACGCATAATTATACTCTAACATCAAAGTTAACGCTCCTCTATAGCTCTCAATAATTATTTTTAACGCGCTAAATCTCACACTCTGAGTTTGACTGAGAGTGAGAGGTCTGCGTGGTGGACCATCAAAGGGGTTCACTGCCTCTCTTTAATCTAAATACATAGTCAATTAACATAATTCAGTATAACAAGTTATTGATACCAACCTACACCTGTATATGACACAGTAAACACACAATCTATTATATCCAGGAGGTATATTTTATATTTTATATAATCGTTTTATATTGCATATCGATCAATGTCCACTTATTGGTGTCTATTGAGGAACACGTAAAAACCACCGTGTAATGTATTATAAATTTGCAGTGCATTACACAATCTTCTTTCTTGCATTATATAGCATTGTTGCTTTCTGGGATTCCCCGCCTCCTTTATCACATAGCAATATCAATATCTGAAAAGGATGTTAATGCTCTTTTAATTTGACTTTATTGGACTTGAACAGCGGATAGAGTTCAATGAAAGTTCAAGTTCGGTGTGATTATCCTATTCCTGCGTGTTTGTCATTATGGCTACGGTACAATTAAAGGAAATGGGCCTTGTCCTTGTGGAATTATAAATCATGACAATGCATGCAGTGATATTGCTACTTATATAAATCGTAGCAGTGAAACGTGAAAGTAATCAGTTATGCCGATAATTTTAATGCAACGAGGCATAAATGACAATGTCAAATTGGAGTCAGATTCATAATAACGCATAACCATCACGATATGAAATAATTTTGTTAATTTAAGCGACGCGGCTTCACCCTTCCCGCTTTTCACAGGGCGCTCTTTCATAATGGCAAACATTTGGGTCTGTATATTATTCCATTCATACGTGACTGACTGCCATTATGGCGGGCTTCCTTTGCTCAGCTAATGTTGTGTGGAGTTGATGACAGACTGCACATTCCTCTGTGATCGATATCGTTATATCTGATCAGACGACAGGCTTCAGGCGGAAGGAAAGGTTGTCACTTTAGAAGTTCAGACGCAGCCAACATTTAATATGGCGTAAATCATTGGACATTTTATGGAAAGAGACTTCATTATATAATAAAGGTAATACTCGGAGAAAGGGTCTTTGCCGGAAGCCAGAGATGTATTCATACCCAGCTGAATGTTTTTTTAACGTGATTTTAGATTCGCTACGTTGAAAGGAATCCTTTACCAACACGATAGCAGCTACTTTTGAAATATCAACCTACGGCAATTTTAACTTCATTTACGTATCTGGAGGCGCGATAGCTCAGTCGGTATAGCAGTGGTCTCGTATTCCGGTGACCCGGGTTCGAAACCAAGGCGATGCGCTAGTGCCCTTTGGTAAGGCATTAATCCTCAACGCGGAGAGGACCTAAAGCCGTCGGCCGTCTGGTTGCTTACTTACAAGCATTTATGCTTTCTTAGCAGTCAGGTAAAATAACCACCACAACCACCACCATCTACAGCTCACGATGTCCCTATGTGTCGACAGCCATGTCCCACAATGCATCACGGGCGTGGGATCATGCTTAGGTACAATAACAGGAAATCGGTGAAAAATTGACAGCAGAGGTAGCGATCTCGATAAAATACACCGCCTTTGATATTAATGATGAGTTTGAAATATTTGCTTCATCATAAAAATAAGTTTTATTTCTTCCTATTCTCCTTCGCCAGGTGATGCGATTCGACTCTCTAAACTAGGGAGATGCTGTGCGTGTTTGAGATCAGAAGAGGAACGAAACGGTTGTCATGGCAACACGCCAAGGGGACCCAGCAATCGGAAATAGAATCTTTGTAGCTGGTTCCTGGATCAAATCATAGCCATCACAATGTTCTCTATCAATCAGTAATTTGGGACCACCGGACCGAGAGTGATCAAATGTGAGTTCGTGATTTTAGTCTCTCTCCCTCTCTCTCTCTCTCTCTCTCTCTCTCTCTCTCTTTCCATCTTTCTCCTATCCTACCTCTTTCTCTTTGCACGTGCATTAACATTTTAACTGTGCTCAAGTTGCATGGTAATTTTCTCTTGAGAAATCGCTTGATTTATGCCTTTAGCTGATCACTTTTAAATAATAAACTTGCTTTGGTTTTTATAATAGTTCAAGGAGCATAACAATCACGTATCATTTGCAGCTGTCAGGAAAATGATATCTGTTCACTTTTTCTGTTTTTTATGTACCATATCATTGGTACCAAGGGCACATCTTTTAAACACAACCTGGGAAAGGATTTAGAAGAGAAAAAACACAGATAATTTTTTTTAACTCCGTCCATAAATATTTCTGTCATGAGACAAGATGATTATATACGTAGTCCTGTGTTAATAGTTTATCATTGTGTTTTTGTTATGATATGAACATTGATAAAAGAGACAGATTAGTTCACGGAAAAATGTTATAACATTTTGCCCCTAGGATGCCGAATTTCTAACTCTTCGCGGTTGACGAAAGTGTTTGAAGTAACTTTCTGAAGCTCAAATTAAACATGCTAATCTTAATTTTTCGGGGCAACTATTTTGCGCGTGTTTGAAATGAATGTGTCTTAATGCTGTTGGTTAGTGTAAAGTAGGCCTATCCTATTTAATTTCTCAAACTTCCTTTTAATTTCTTTTGCAACAACAGATGTGGCGACTCGTGCTTCGACTCATTGACGTCCATCACTGCTCATGGCGACGATGCGTAACCGTCTTCAGTGTCCTTCTCGTCGTCAACACTGCCTTTCATTGGACCCTGGTCGATGACGTACACTCGCGATCGGGACAGCCTGGCAAACGGAGCGCGATCTCGATGTCGAGGGACGGAGGTGGGTTGCCGTTTCGTGATCGGGTGATCAGCATTAATAAATGGTATGATGAACTGAAGGGCGGAAAACTGGACAGTAAGGGAATCGACTTTGATGATGAACACGAGACCAAAGATGATGCGAATAGGAAAGGAGATGATATGGATACTCTGATTACTTACATAACGAGGAAACCTTCAAACAGACGCCCTCTAGGGGATGTACATTTATACACGAATACAAATTTTGCTGAGTCACATCCGACGCAGACGAAACTTCAAAGGATTCGCGAAGATAAACTCGGGAATCGTCGATTGGTGTCGGCGTCGATCGACAACACTCGGAATGAGAGTGAAATCGTTCGGAAAGTTGAAATAAGTCGGAAGGAAATTGATAGCATGAGGGAAAGAGTTCAGACAAGAAGAAGAGAGATCAGAAACAAAAGCATGACAGAAAGTGTCGAGAATAAGCTTCTCTTTTTGCGGAATTCTAAGATTAAACCAAGGACGGCGCCAACAAAAAGTAGCAACTCAAATAAAGATCGGGTTGTAAAGTTGATACGAACGATTGAGGCTTCAACGGATCGCAAAGTTATAGAAGTTTATTCAAACGAAAAGATTCGTTTCTACAGCCAACCTAGTTGGCTTTATTCAAATGACTTAGATGCGATGAACTTTTTGGCGGGCTCTTGGGTATTGGGCAGACGACTGGCTCGACACTTCGAGATACCGGTTAATCGTCTCGTACTCGTCTCGAATGATGAAATTGAACGTCTGGTGGATAATTACGAGCGAAAAGGAGAGAAAGCTGACACTGAAATGGAATGCCATCAATCGCTGCGTACATTGGCTTGTCAAGCGGCATGGTGCTCGATTGATTTAAGCCTGGTGGTGGCATTTCATTTGGACCGGGTAATTGGTTTGAACGTTACTCCCCCGACAGTTGGCCGGGAGCTGCCGCTTGGGACACGGCACCCTCCCGCGTTGCAACATGTCAGCCGATCGAACGAGACGCAGGGCTCCAAATTTGTACTCGACGTTGACCTTCCTGTCCGGGTTGTCGCACTCATTGTGACGTCATCAAGGAAGTTACATTCGGGACCTGCTGCTGGGCGAGGGGCCGGCGAACATTACCGCTTTATGACGAGAAAGGCGACGGAAGGCCAATTGGAAGTTTCGTCGGATCTCTCGGAGAAGCTGTTCATCTTTTGTTACCTCTTAAAGGTATTTGCCATTTTGATGGGAAGAAGAGTGGAGCCAAAATTGAAATAGTAGTCAACTAAAAATTATCGTAATTGCTGTTGCTGAAAAATAAAATTCCAAAATGATCATACCCCCTTTCGCCCCCCCCCCCCCCCCCCACCCCTCACCCCTCTCCCCCCCCCCCCCTCTCTCTCTCTCTCTCTCTCTCTCTCTCTCTCTCTATCTCCCCCTCTCTCTCTCTCTCTTTCTCTATTCCGATCTTCTTTTGGAGGAAAATGGATACAATTTAATAGGAAACTTGATTTTGATAATGATGCAGTACTAAACGCTGGAGGGTGGGGGATTGAACCAAAACTCTATTTGTACCTGGAATAATATGAGACCTTAACTTAAAGTGCACCTTTTTATGGAAAAAGAAGTCGCAATATTAACCACGTAGCTATTTCTAATTTGACTTTTTCTTTTCTTCCACTTGTTAATTTCCATTTAGATATCAAACTGCAGCACGGATTTATGGACAGGATATTTCAACTCTTTGCTTATCCCTCATCGTTCAAACCACTTCAATGAATCATTCACCGATTACTGCGATACCAATATAACGTCACCCATCAAAGTCTTCCAATCTTCCATAATCCCCGATCGAACAGACAGTAATATGCTAAAGAAATTTAAAAGGTAAATAATTTCCTTTTGTTTGTTTTTGATAATGTTTTTCTGTCTTTCTTTGTATTTGATGTCGTAGTACAAGAAGTATTTTTGCCGTAAAAAAGCAAAGACATTAAACATACAAATCGAAATGTATATAATACATACATACGGATGGGTATAGCCCTGCTAGGGGGGTCCAAAGATTGGCCCTGCGTATCAAAATATTCAAGTCCACTCTTACTCTCAAATACAAACTTCGTTTTTATTTTACATTGTTTTACTTCAAGAACAGTTAGCAATCTACAGAACAAACTTTAGCCAAATCTATGTGATATTCATACCCTATTTTGAATACGTTTAAAGGTAAAGACCAGTTATGGTCATGCGATTGCATTGTGAAAGAAACGTTGTGGAATCGATCAGAAAAGGTTGATCATCTAGCATCTAGCATCTGCAAAGTTCTGGAATCATCAAAATGATAAGAAATTTGGCCCATTCTTCGTAAAGTTACAAGCACTATACACAGAAAGATGTATATGGGACTACCATATATCTCTCACAGTCTATGAGAGAAACAAATCTACCAAATATATGAATTAGTAGGCGGTTTCCCGGCAATTTTTTTTATCATCATGTATTAGTCAAAACATATTCTTTCACATGATTGGTAATGAGAGCTTCCATCTCATTTTTTGAAATTGGGGCGTTTCCAATACTGGTCTTTACCTTTAACCATTTTAAGACAACTACCTTTCTGCAAAACTACTGGATAAGACATCTTCACCGGACATCTCCACCACATTAAACTAACGTGGATATCCATCCAAGTCGGGTAGTATTAAAGATGGAGGTAATTCCTTTGGGGAGTTTCCCGGAATTGAGAATGGTTCTTGGGTACAGTTGTCTAGGATTAATAATCCTTATGGGTAGTTGTCCAGGGGTAGGTGTCCTTGGAATAATGATCCTTATTGGTAGATGTCCGGGGGTATTTTTCATAGAAATAATGATCCTTATTGGTAGTTGTCCGGGGGTATATTTTTCGTAGGAATAATGATCCTCGTGGGTATTTGTCTGGGGATAGTTGTCCTAGTAAAAATGATCCTTATTGGTAGTTGTCCGGGGGTACTTATCACAAGGTCGTTTTGGGGGGATGTATTTTATATAGAATGAATTAAGATAGATATGTAAAGCAAATGCTGAATACCTTGACATTAAAACAATCTATGTGCAAACCATTGATTTATCATTAAATTAACAATTTTCTGCATTTTATATTCTCTGTCCAGGATATCGAGCGAAAATATGGAGCTCCTCCAAGCAGGACGAATCCGACAGCGACTCCTCCAATCCATCTTCCTGGATCGCATCTTCTGGGCTGAGGCTGGTGGTCGTCACGGCATCGAGATCATTCTCGACATCGTTGATGGCCGCGTCAAGGAACTCTTCGAATGGCTCTCACGCTTTTCTAACGCGAAAAAGAAACGACGGAAAATATGATAATGGGACTTTTCCATGGCTTCATCATTATTACCGGTTCTTTTCTGAAATTATAACCAACAAAACATTTCATCTCCCCCTGTCATATCTGATTATTGTTTCAAGAAGTGTAGTTTTAGTTTTGTTCTTATTTATTTTGACAAAGAGTGCTGTGGTGAGGTGTTTTAGTTATTTAAAAATCTAGATTGGCTGAAGGAATATCACCTTGCTGCAATAATATCACTACACAACTTAGTAAGTAATATTGTATGTTATTTATTTACAATGAAATAGATACTTATGGGCCTGTAGAACAATTGGAAGTTCTAATGACAGGTGTATGCATAAGCACTACGGTCTTCTCTGTAGGTAAGTATGCATCTATAATTCAACAAGTCAATAGCGGGATGATCTAAATATACATTATTAGCTGCAGATCCATGATTTTCCAAGAAGGTGGAGGGGTGGAGCTAGGGGTCTGCCTTAGGATTCATAGTGGGGGTAAGGCGGCTATCTTGAAAGTTCTGAATTCAGAACCTTCTAGATAGCCGCCTTGAGATAGAAACACCTACTCTCTCCCTATGAAAATTGTATACAACAAAGGGTTGTCTTGGTAACCACTTTTAATTTTACGAATGGAGTCAAGGGGCCCACTTTAAGGCCCCTGATAGGTCAAAGGGGTTGCGGGGCTCAGGGTCGAAGCCCCGAAAATTCTGAGTTTTTAACAGTTTAGAACCTTTAAGATGTCCGTCACGATCAACAGAAATTTTAATTATCTCATGGACTTCCACAAAGCCCTTATCATTCCCCCCCTTTTTTTTTTATTATTATGTCTCTTTTTCTCGTAAAGACAATTTTATAAAACTCTTTTTTCGTATTGTTTACTTTCCTCCGAGGTTTTCGTAGGCACATGTCGAGCCAGTCTATCGACAATATTTTTCTTTTCAAAATCGCCTATATTCGTTTATGATGACATACGTCCAAACCCGCGTCCTAGTTATGAAGTTCACAAAAGATATTCCAACACTCCGCCGTAGACAAGCTGATATGTGTCCTATTTAATGCTGGCAGATTGGGTAACAAATAAAAATTGACAAGCTCTACCCAAAATACAGGTCACAAATCTATTAAAATAATGAATGTACCATCATACGATGAAGCCCTAAAAAGTACAGAATAAAAAACTATCCGAAATAAATCTCATCAAAGAAAAGAGTATCTTAACATAATAAATTGTTTAATATACGGGTTGCCGGGGTTAGTGCAATGTATCCCGTGAAATCTGACTTATAAATCGAACCACTGTTATACAATTCAAACACGACAAATACTAAGGATGGCGAAATGATGCAAAGATTTAATCGGAAGCACAGTGATACCGGATCTAATAATCAAATATTAGAATAATCATCATCTAGATGTCCTATGTATTTATTTCTTCGTGCGCGTTTGACAATGCAGTAGTATTTAGTAATACAAACTGGAAAAAGGGTTTCTTTCTTCGCATATTTATTAAATCATTGTTTGATTTCTGTATCATCGTGTGAAGGTGGTTGCATACTATGCAACAAACCTGATCGCAAAGACTTTCGAAAAAAATCATCTGAAGGTAATTTCAAAAGCCTTGTACATCTCCTATTGACATTTGCGAACATTACAACGACGTATTACGTAATCTAAACGTGAATTCCACGGGACATGCAAAATGGTAGGCCTATTAAAATTGTCCTTGGGTTCGTTTTCGAAAGTCTTTGTGATCGTGTTAATTAGGAACAATGGCCTCGGAGTAGATTTTTGAAATTTGATATAATTCTGAATTTGTTCAATTACAAGAAAGCGAGTATAAAAGTATAATCATACCAACATCATCAATCTTCTTGAAGAGCAGTTTCTGAATTGCTTTTCCGCGCATAAACATTATGATAGAGATTCTTATCTTGTTATATGTCAGAACGATGTTATAACGATTCAGCATTGCCCATGTTTTATGCATAGTTAGGAGTTGACGTGAACATTAAGGATCATGGAATTTCACATTTGAATTTATATATCACATAGGTCCTTTTTATGTGAATTAATTTCATGTCATATGTTCGTACTACAGACAATATTATGTGTCACTCGTAAAGAGTTTGAAATGTCCATTTATAAATGTTGCTGCAAATGTATTAATTTCGTTGATTCATTAAAACAAAGTATGACTTTCAGCGTAACTTCATGCTTCTCTAGTTTTCTTCTTATCATACTTTTAGCCAGCATGAACAAAAAAATATATTTATGTTTTACAAACAGAATATTGAACAACAATTGACATATTGACACAAATCCTCTTTTTGCAAAGGCATTTAGATTATAAAATTGTTTTTACTCGAGTAATTTCTTTGATCTAATAGATAAGTTTGGTCGATTGGGTAAGTTAGTGTTTTGCCCAACTTAATCGGTCCTGAAAAACATATCAGCGATCTATAAATGAAATTTCTATCGTGAAATTAACTTGTCACTTCATTGTTGAAATACATTAGATTACTTGAGAAGCTAACGGAGATGGCGCACTGTAATATGTCAGTTGTTTTTACATCCACTACTACAGTCGCACATACTTTCAGATTTATTTCAGTTTTAAAGTGGGAATGGGGAGCAATTCATTATGTCATGGTCCTGATATTATGAACATGATAATTATTATCATAAACATATTATTTGAGTATGAAAATAAATCTACCATAGGCAAACCATGACGTTGTCTTTGGGAAGGGGCGACCCATCTCCGAGAGATAGAGAGAGAGAGAAAGAGAGAGAGAGAGAGAGGGGGAGGGGAGGAGAGAGAGAGGGGGAGGAGAGAGAGAGAGAGAGGAGGGGGAGGAGAGAGAGAGGGAGAGAGAGAGAGAGAGAGAGAGAGGGAGAGAGAGAGAGAGAGAGAGGGAGAGAGGAGGGGGAGAGAGAGAGAGAGAGAGAGGGGGGGGGGGGGGGGGTCAGTGATAGGAAGGATACGGAATGATAGTACACGTAAAAAGCCTCTTGCATAAGAAGTTAGGTTCATACGCAACTTAACTTTTAACCAAATCGACTTGCGTTTGGTCGCATCTTGTCGTGCGAGAGGGCACGTGACACATAAATACTGACACTGTTCATTCTTTTTAAAAATGCCTACAGGTTGAGTGCAACATTGCCTTGCGATAGCAATACAATTTGCAATGCGTTGTATGGTAATAATAATTATAATTATATGACATTTGTAAGGCGCCGAATCCATTTGAAAGCAAACGTTCAAGGGGTACTACTGTCTTGTGAAAAAAGGGAGAGATCACATTAAAGCATCTGCATAAAAGAACAGATATATTAGAACACACACAAGTGAAAGAACAAATACTTATACTCCTAATTAAACATTTGTATGTTTAAGATCATGTTCAAACGCTTCAACTGAACTGCTATAACATTGAATCTCTTGAGGGAGAGCATTCCACAGCGAAGGCCCTGTATGAGAGTGTGGGGCGCCGACTTCGTCAGCCTCGGGACACTCCGCCCCCTGTTGAAAAATGGCTTGATACGCCATGACATAGAGAGAAAGCGTGTATATATACGTCTGCAGTCGAATGTACTTAACTATATTTGCTTGCACTGCCTTCAATGTTAACCCAAGAAAACAATGGCCGGCATTACCAGACGACTGTCTTGTTTCGTTTTGAGTTACATGTCAAATATTGACACTTGACTGTGTGCACAGCTTCATTTTCATTCACTGACAACTTTACCTCTCTCGCATTAATTTACATGACGGTTATGTAAACTCAGAACAATCTGTTCGACTGCTTGGAACCAGAAGAGCATTAACTCTTTGTCATTTATTAACTCAGGGTTAACGTCCTTCTTGTGCTTTAACAGACGTCTCCTTTGGTAGCATTGTCCGGGAAATATGAAGTTTTGGAGGTCATCTTCCATAATGTAAAATTGATTAAAAGACGACCTACAAAACATCAGATATTTGGGCAACTTTCCTTACTTGGAATATTTGTGAACAAGCATTTTATATGGAATGCATATTTTGACTTACAAGGCGATAATATTCAGATATAAATGTCCTGGTCATGGTGAGCCAACCGTAGCAACAAATAGTCCCAATAGTTGATTCTAAACGAAATATTATATCATTTATAGATAGATTGAACAGTTTATCACCATGGTTGCTAACTATATTGGCATGTTTATCAATTTAATCCGAGATTTTATGAAACAAAGTGCTATACATAATGGTCAAGTATACTGCATTCGATCGTGAGATAGCACAAACTGAGAATGGACATTTTGTAAATGATGAGCTTAAATTGGGGGCACTGATGTTTCTCTTATTAGCTCATTGAATTACGAAATGGAACAAAATTCCCGACCGAAACTGCGGTCTACATTAAAGTTTCTCGCAGGTGTAACTTCGTAAATCTGTTCAGCGCTCCATTTTGTTGCCCCCGATTCGGCTAGTTGTTATGTTATTCCCTTAAAGTCGCTCGTATTTGGAGCCACAATATTCCGCTAATGACCCCCCCCCCCCCAGCCCTTCTACCCCCTGCCCGTCTTATCTGTTCGTTTTTGGCTTTTTTTTCTTTCTTTTCTTTCTTTCTTTCTTTCTTTCTTTCTTTCTTTCTTTCTTTCTTTCTTTCTTCCTTTCCCTCCACGTAAAGCGGATTGATTACACATGCTAATCAGTCGATCAACAGTATTACCAACACAAGAACAGTCCACGAGTCTCAGAGTAAAGAAGCACTAATATAAAGATCATACACACATGGGATTGCAGGATCTATGGTGACTCACATCCGATATGCTCCAGTACTGTCCTTATTAATCCCTAGAAATTCGGAGGAAAGTAAAAGGTCGGAACACCTTCCAGATCGCTTGCACGCGCCCCTGAAGGATACGTTTCCATATGAAAGGCTTTAGAATGAAATTTTAGATTTTAATTCTTTTATTATTATGTTGTTGCTTGTTTCCATGGTAACTGGGTGTTTCAGGGTCTTGGTACAAGTAACTCTGTCGGTGGCGGATCCAGGTAGCAATTAAGGGACAAGAGTACTTACCATTGGAAAAGAAATATGTTATGATATCTTGAGTATACCGTAAGAAGAATAAGAATGTGCGACTACATAATTATGTGCCCCCAACATCAATTAAATTAGACCTGCAATGCAAATGAAATATGCGCTAACATTTGTTGTGTTTTCATTTAGGGTGTTTTTTCGCTTGTCAAGAACTAACAAGAAATCACTATAAAAAAAAAAAGAAGTTTTTCAGACTTTAGGCCGCCCCCAACTCTCCTCAACGGCCAGAGGATCCTGTTGTTCTCTTCCGTTTTCATGGGTACTTGGAGCTCAAGTAGGCAGTGCTCGCTCGAGCATCACTGATGCAAAACCTCCTCTTCCTCTACACGCAAACGCAAATAGACCCTTCTATTATTTGGATTTCATTCTATGTACACAGACATTTATAATAGGGTCATATAAATATTATTATCCTATCATAAATTAAAGGCTTACATTGTATACTCACTAAAGACCAATTCAGTTGGAAGAGTTTGTACCACCCCCCCCCCAAAAAAAAAAGAACTCTAGATCGTGATGTGACAGGTTTTTAATATGATATAAAGACGACATGGAAAATATGACATTGTGTAGGAAGCACATTTTCATACATGTTTGCGTTTAAGGTATTAAAGTACGTATATGTCCAATTCGCAGGCCCAAAAAATGAAAAGGTTAAATTCCGACGGCATTTGAAAAATAATACTAATTTAGAACTTCCTTTAAAACGAAAGGACTTGAAAATGTCTTTTAGTGGGAAAATAACGAGCATTGGTTGTCGAATCGACTTTAGTGATTGCAATTATTTTATTTTATAAATAGTCTGATTTTCAGACCCTTGTAACGAATGGTCGTACGTTTGTGCTGCGCAAAGATTCAATCAGTTCAATGTTTGCCATTAAAAGAAGTGGGTTATTGATGTAGACAAAATAATGCTCATGTACCGTTACAATTCATTTTATGTATGTTATTACCTACAAAAAAGGGCAGTCAGTCACTCAATAGTGTATGACAGTGAAGTCTAGAAAGTAAACGAGTTTCCTTGCATAATTTGAATATTAGGACATTGCTAACGTTACATTTCACAGAAAGGACAAACATGACATATTCATAATTCCTGCAAAGTTCTCCCGCCATTAATCCAGCGTTCAAGTCAATAATGTTTCTGGAAAGGTTTGGTAAGCTTTGAGTTGACTACTCCCAATTCGTCTATTCTAAATGTAATAGTCGGTGAAGCTCGGAAACTCTTGAATACTGAAAGGACATAAATAGAATGTCACTGACCAATGGTACGGGATTAAAGTTCTGAAACTGTTAGGGTTATATATATATCAAATCTTCTGATTTTAATGGTAGAAATGTAAGTTTTTGGAACTTTAGAAATAAAACTGAATTGACAAAATAGTGATTACACCTGATATGGTGACCGACTTTCCATCTCCTCACCCCTTCACCTCCT